ACCTGAGGCCCTCACCTTCGCCAGAGGCCCTCACCTTCGCCAGACCACCATCTAAGGCCCTTACCTTCGCAAGAGGCCCTCACCTTCGTTAGAGGCCCTCACCTTCGCCAGAGGCCCTCACCTTCGCCAGAGGCCCTCACCTTTGCCAAAGGCCCTCACCTTCGCTAGAGGCCTTCACCTTCGCCAAACCACCATCTGAGGCCCTCACCTTCGTTAGAGGCCCTTACATTCGTTAGAGGCCCTCACCTTCATCAGACCATCACATGAGGCCCAAAGTTCTGCTAGACCATCACTTGACGCTCGGACTTCTACCGAAGTCCCGCCCTCCAACTACGCTCTTTCAGACCACTCGTCTCCTGCCGACTATGATCCTTCGAACCTCCGTCTCCTACTATGGTCCTTCCGACCTCCATCACCAACCAACAGTCTTTCTGACCCCGATCTCATGCCGACTACGGTCCTTCTGACCTCCGTCACATACTATGTTTCTTCCGACCTCCATCAACAGACAACAATCTTTCTGACCCCGGTCTCCTGCCAACTACGATCCTTCGGACCTATGTAGCCTACTATGGTCTTTCCGACCTCCATCAACATACAACGGTCTTTTTGACTCAGGTCTCCTGCCGACTACGGTCCTTCTGATCTCCGTCACCTACCATAGTCCTTCCAACCTCCATCACATGACAACGGTCTTTCCGACCTCCATCCTATCGATTATAATCATGCCGACCAAACAAACATGTCTACATTGTAACTCCCACCATGTAATACGTTCTATATGATGTACATTTGTATCATCAAAAGCCAAGGCCTTCTCCCAAGGAAGGGCCTCATTTGTAATCGACTGCAAATACTATTGGATTCATTTAAACTGTGTCAGACCCCGTGGTTTTTTTCCCTTTTTAGGGGTTTCCACGTAAAAACTCTAGTGTATCTTATGAACGCTACACCCTCTCACTTATCTGATTGTGTGCTGGATCTTCGTACAATGTTAAGACTTTAAACTATATATTTCTCTACCGCCGCGAATACTCCAGGACGCAACAATAACTATGACATATAACTGATGTATGGACGAAAACATCACATTAATATTGAATGTCATGTCTTACTTTTTATAATTATACTCATGATGTGTTATTTACTTGATAGTACATTAAATTGATTGACATATTGATAGCTCATACTATCATTAATATTGATACAACATAATATAGCTTATATACACGATTCATTGGGTAATGATACTCTTTATCGTATGTTTTTTTTACTTTATTGAACATATTAATTTTTTTATTAATTTTTTGATATTTTTATTACTTATATAAAGTGATGATTTATATTGGCTAGAACTGAAACATGCATATTAATTATTTTATCTTGCATTGAAAGCAATGATAGAGTTTAAGTTTCCTGATGGGTTTTTTAGCTCATTATATGTTGTTTAAATGATTTCAAGTTTGGACATGGGAGCATGAGTGAGAGGCTGGTCAGGATTTCTTCTGATATAGGTTCTTATTATTTTAGTTATTCATTTATACTCATGATATAACAATTATAATATGATTGTATAGATTCTGAGTATTGTATATGATTTTTGAAAAAATTGACATAGATGTACATATATATGTTTTAAATTCTATAAATATTTTTATTATTTATTTTTTATATAAGAAGTCAAATAACTTTGGTGTTATTTATTAAAAAGTAAAATAATAATTCTTTTAAATTAGATTCTAGGACATCACATAAGGGATGACAGTTGGTCAATTGAGGTCAGAGAGAACGTGAGTAGTCAACTGGGGACGAAGGTTGAAAGGAACATAAACATTTGTTGACAAAGGTGAAAGGAACTATAGTTGGCGAGTGTAGGAGGTTGGAAGGAATGTAGCTAGACAACTAAGGTCAGAGGTTAATAGTCGAGCAATATTGGTTGGAGGGACCAAAGTCAATGAAGATGAAGGTCAGAAGGGACATAGTCATACAATTAAGATCAAAGGATCGTAGTTAGGGGTGTAAGCGAGTCAAGTCGGCTTATGAGTACTCTGTTCAAACTCGACTCCTTAACGAGCTTACAAGTTGAGCTTATCAAGTTAAAGTTTGAGCTTTCAGTCAAGCTCGTATGATATACAAGTTTAATTTTGAGTTGAGCCTGACTTGACTCGAAAACTCGTCGATAGGCTTGATTGGAAAAAAAAAGGAAATTACTCTACCGCATCACTACTCTGCTTCGATATAAGGTTTTGAATTTTAATGCCCTATTTTTATTATGTCATTCTTTTTAGCTTACGATTAGTGATGGATGCAACCTAAGACCGTGTGAGAAATATATCTTTCTTGTGCTCTAGAGTGACAACATGTGCTTCCTTGGGTAAGAAAATATAAGGAGCTATATTGCTCCAACTTATCATGAAGGATCAATGTTCATTTCATTACTATGTAAGTTTTCCTCCAGTGTTATTCAAGAAAAAAAAAAGTCATTGCTAATGAAGGTTCTCTCCTAACAATTTTAATGTTTTTTTTTTTTTTTATTGGATTTGAAAATTTCGAACTCTTTGTGACTTTTCCTAGTTCTATTTTGTGATTCTACTCTATTATATCATTTTGGTGCCTTGTTATTGCTGCCTTTCATTTCTTATAGTTGTCATTCGATTTTATATATTTTGAGGTATGGCAAGATTTTGTTCTTTGCCATTGATGATGATGTTATTCCCTAAATAAGCATATTTTCTCCCCTTGGAAGGTTGTTTAACAACCAATGGAGTGAGGTGCTATGATGGCTTGCTGTTGTTGACTTGAACATGCAATAGGTATTATCAGTTGTCCTTTGAGTCCATACTCTATTTGGGTTTGTCTCGTCCAGACATTTGGTCTAATTATAAGTTTGTTGAAATTAGAGTTTAGACGACCCTGAATTTAATTATGAAAGTTTCCAATTCATACATGATTCCAAATTTGCACCAATTCAAGGCGATTTTTTGTGATGTATCAGTTGGACCATATTTTCGGACGTTTAAGCTTGCAGTGTCCAAAAATATACATTTGATACTTTTAAATGGTTGACGAGGTAAAATTATAATTTATAATTAAAAAAAAAATTACGAGGCGTGACTGCTCCCTAGAAATCAACGTGAACCACCCCTCCGGACCTTGGATGAAATAAAATTCCTTTGATCAAATTTTAATTTAAAAATATTAAAAATGTTTGAAAAAAACTATAGAGGTTCCATTAGGTCAAGAGTGATAGAATTAAGTTAAGAACATTAAAAAATAAATTTGGAAACTTCAACTACATCTAAATGAGACTTTTGAGACCAAAATGGTTGTTTTTCATTTCTTTTGTTTTTTTCCTCTCTTTTTGTGCCTTTCACTCACGCCATTGTAACGGTAAAAAAAAAGTAAGTTTTTTAAATGTATATATATATATTAAACTTCAAAAAAGAAAAAAAATAAATAATGAAATATTCAGCCAAAATATATTAAATATAAGCTGCAAAAATTATTCGTGAAGAGTAAGACATATACTCAATATTAAAAATTAATTCCTTCAAATAAGATACAAATTTATCATAATTGATGAAAAACTTTAAATTTAATCGTTATGTAATATTCAATTTGCATTTTTGCCCTGCATAATTATATTGAAAATATTAAATATAAAATATATAATTTTAATTCAACTTAAAAACGTGAATAAATACATTTTTCACCCATAATATTATTATAGTACTCATCAGTTAATTTTGCATATTTTTTAACAATTGTTTGAATGTCAACGACATATATTTAATGCATATGTAATTAAATTAGTACTATTGAAACCATCATATGATAGCTACATTAACCATTTTTATTATAAAATATTAAATATAACGTGCAATATAGGTGAATAAAAATATGTGATTGGCAGTCATAACAAACAAATAACAAAATTATATGGATTAGCAATTGCTTCATCCAATAATTATAACAAAAAACTGAATAAAATTGAATTAAATTTTTATGATTTCATTGTCACTCCATCAAATCATTGCAATATAAAATTGCAAAGAGCTCAAGCAAAGTTAGGGGTGTCAATTTTTGACACGACCCGAACCCGATTCGGAAAAATTCGGGTTCGGGTCAACCCGATATTGACCCGAAAGTGACACGAAAACTCATATTTGACATGAGAATCCGAGATTGACCCGTTTTTGACCTGATTTTGACCCGAAAATCAAATATTAACCCGATTTTGATCACAAAATTAGCAATTTTAGGTCAAATTCGGGTCTGGTCGAGTTGACCCGGACCCGAATCGGGTCGGGTTCGGGTCCAGAAACCTGACCCGTTTTTAAAAACGGGTCGGGTTCGGGTTGACCCGAACAATGCTGGGTCAGTTTCGGATTCGACCCGAACCCGACCCGCTGACCCGAATTGACACCCCTAAGCAAAGTCATTTTTTATTTTTATATTTAAAAATATTATGGATAAATGAAAAAAATTAATACTATCAAATAAAGGATTTGAATGGCGGGTAACCGTGATCGAAAGGTCAGTAGTCGGGTAATAGTGATTGAAATGATCGTAGTCGGGCAACAGATGTTAGAAAGATCGTAGTTGGCGGGCGATGGATGTCAGAAAATTGTAGCAGGGAGACGGTAGTCCGGCAGCGAGCGACATATCAACAAATAATAATCGGGTGAAGGTGGTAAGAAGGACCGTGGTCGTCTGTCGACCACGGAGATTTGAAAGACTGTAGTTAAGTGATGGCGATCGAAAAAATCGTTGTGAAGCGCTTTGAACAACACCGATCAATTAACTATGAGATTTTGAATTATAAATTTTACTAAATATTAAAAAAAATTGAAATTTATTTTAAATATAGGAGTCTAGTGGCTACGCTAGTGACGGATCCTTGTTCCCACGTGGGACCCACTTCTGCGAAGTCGTAAAAACCTGGGTGGAATGATTTCGGTGCTTCTAAAGAGCTGTCATAATTGCATTCCATTAATTCCGCCCCGTTGCATTTTCCCAATAAAATCTCTGTTCGTCTCCCTCCACTTGTCTACTGCCAGTCAAAGCCTCTGTCCAGTGTACCCTCTCCCGCGGGATATCTTACCGCATCTTTCGCTGCACGCTCTTTGCCGCCGGCGGAAACGTATAGCCCGAATCTAGGGTTCCGGTTAGTAAATTTCTCAGCTGGAAGGTTGAACTGCTGGAGAGTTCGCTGCTGAGGTGATGACCTGAGAGAGGGGGCGAGATGGGCTGCGTTCTAGGTCGACATGCTTCGTCGGTTGACTCGTCCCGCCGCCATGGGGATCAGGAGGTGGTCGTGTCTTCTGGTCGGAAGTCGCAGGTGCCTCCTCCGAAGGTCGATGTCGTTGCTGCAGGAGATGGCGGTGCTGCGCAGGAGGAGTTAGCGCAGGTTAAGCCGGCGCGGCCCCGACGGCGATCGAGGACTGGCAGCATTCCCGGGCAAGCAGTTGGAGAGCAGGTCGCCGCTGGTTGGCCGCAATGGCTTTCAGAGGTTGCTGGCGAGGCCATCAAGGGTTGGACTCCTCGCCGAGCGGATAGCTTTGAGAAGCTTGCGAAAGTAATCCCTCTTCCACTTGTCCTTTTGCCTGTCACTAATGTTGGTAAGTTTTTTTAAGTCTTTTCCCAATTCAGATCGGGCAAGGGACTTACAGTAACGTGTACAAAGCAAGAGATACTGTCACTGGAAAAATAGTTGCACTGAAGAAGGTCCGGTTTGACAATTTGGAGCCTGAGAGTGTGAAGTTCATGGCGAGGGAGATCCTAATACTTCGCCGCCTAGACCACCCCAACGTTGTGAAGTTAGAGGGATTGGTCACGTCGAGAATGTCATGTAGCTTATATCTTGTGTTTGAGTACATGGAGCATGATCTTGCTGGGCTTGCTGCCTGCACCCCTACCAAGTTTACGGAGCCTCAGGTTGGATGTATGGTGCATTACTTTTTATTTCTCTCTTTGGATTAATATTATCTTTTACAGGAACCTTCATCTAAAATTCTATGAATTGGGCAGGTGAAGTGCTATGTGAAGCAGTTGCTATCTGGGCTAGAACATTGTCATACAAGGGGCGTGCTACACAGGGATATCAAGGGCTCCAATTTGCTACTGGGCAACGATGGGATACTTAAGATTGCAGATTTTGGGTTAGCAACCTTCTTTGATCCAAACCGCAAACAGCCCATGACCAGTAGGGTCGTTACATTGTGGTATCGGCCCCCTGAGCTCCTTTTAGGGGCAACGGATTATGGTGTTGGTGTGGACCTATGGAGTGCAGGGTGTATTTTGGCAGAGTTATTGGCTGGGAAGCCCATCATGCCTGGACGAACTGAGGTAAGTTTGATATCAGTTTCTTCAGTAGAAGCGTCAGCAACATAGTTGTTTACCAAATATATATTTTTGATTTTAAAGATCTGATGTCTTGATTAATTGTGCTAGATTTTGTTGAACTTCTAATGCAACAAATTTATTTGTTGCACGCTCTTCTTGCATCCGTGAAACCCATGAAAACTTGTGCAATTATGGGTTTAGTGGCTTCAATGGGATCTTAGGCTATTGCTTTTGGTTTTACCATGGAATTCCTTACACATTGCATGCAAGATCCATGCCTTTCTATCAAAATGATCCTAACTTGGGTGAATAGCCATTCCAATATCAAGAGTAAGTAGTCTAGCTGTGGATTTTGGAAGGCGTAAGGGGGTTGGGGTAGGATCCGTTTTGGTGCTGTAGATGCATACATGTTTAGTGGTCCCTTGCTTGCAAAAAAAAAAAATAAAAAATTCAAGGGGCTCGAGAGGTGGGGATTTTGTTGTGTACAAGAGGGGGTAGAGGAAAAGGAGAGAGATCATAGTTAACATAAATGGGGTTGAAAGCAACGCAATTTGTAAACTCCAAACTCATCAACCTTGTCTCCTTTGTCTTTTGGATGACACTCTTAACTCGTCTTCTTCTCTTCTTGATTCCATGTGTTGTCGTGCTCCATTTATTGTTTTAGTTCTTCTTCTTTTTTTCCTTCCCTTTGCTTTGCAATTGCACTACTGACATTTCCTTGTAGAAAATTTATGAGAGAGAGAGAGAGAGAGAGAGAGAGAGAGAGAGAGAGAGAGAGGTTTAATTGCAGGGATACATAATTTTTTCACTCAAATGATCTCATTTAGTATTGAACATCATAATAAAAGCTGCTATTTATAAGCAAAAAAGACATGATAACTTAAAATTTAGATAAAAATAAAATGAAATTATTGTTAATTGGAGGATTCTAGTCTTTATTCCAAGAATTCTATCCTTAGATAGATCTAGTTGGTCCTTACATTTTGGAGGGAGTGTATTTTGCAATTTTAAATTCTCATTATTGACCACCAACTCTCATAACCACCCGTAACCCACTAACTCATTGTAACCACCTCATGCACGCTAAAAAAACTTTCAGACGACATAACTGAACTAAAACACCCGCTCATTTTCACAAAATTGCACGCAGGAGCCTGTGAGTCTTCGAAATGATTATGCTTGCGGGGAACAAAATGCAAAGAGTATGTCCGCACTATCCCGTAGAACAAAATGGTTACAAGTCTTTACACCATATACAACCAGACGAATGAAAGAGCATATGATATCATATATATGATTAATCATGGAGGATGACGGTTTTCACCTACACACGTCGATGGGTACTACCGTACTAATATATGTAACCTGATCAAAGTCATGAAATTTTCCCCTTTTGATACATCAGCTCGAATGAAGTTTATTTGATGTGGGGATCGGTTTCCCACGGGCGCAAACCCCCGTGGTTAATTACATCTTAGGCCTCAGCCTAAGAAGACTCTCGATTAATGATGCTATATTATTCTCTCCAAGGATGTTACACATAGGGAATTTATAGGCTCTCCTAATCCAAAAAGAAGATTGGCTCAACTGACTATTTCATCTTAAGCGGATCATACAAGCACTCAGTCGGTCAAACTAAAGGAAACTGGAAGAGAAATCACTATATACCACATGCTTGAGGGAAAGATGGAAGCGGCGCCATCAAAGTGACGCGAATGAGTAGGATTTATAGCCTTCGAAGAATGGAGGTCTTACCCACCGATAAGAGATGCAACGGTATACAAATGTCGTCAGCCTTTGATCCTAGATCTACAAGGGACGTACTGTAAACTGAGTACAGATGTCCACGACCTAACTAATGCAAGACACCGCAAGGGGACTTATAACTTAAATCCCACTAGGGATCTAAGCAGCTCCGACATGGATTTATCACCCTGCTCGGAAGGGATACCAGCTAAACTCCACCTAGCATATTAAACCCATGATATTTAGTCTTATAAAATGTAAGAGTGGTTGAAGGCACAAAAAGGGAAATGAACACTAGGCTCGACCATTAATGGTACTATGCTTTATGCAAAATTAACTATCCCTCTATGTTATAAAAGAAAATATATATGCTTGGACTCAAGGCTATGCATGTGTAGGTGAGGCCAATCAGGACTGGCTAATGGTCACTGTTAAGTGAATAAGGCTTACTCATTATCATTTAAAAAAGTGACCCCTTTAAAGTAGTCATACATTAAATTTTTTTTTTTTGAAAATTGGTTAATTTTAATCCTATGTTCATCTTTATCTTGCTTACAAATTTTAGCTTTATAGAAAATTTAACATCCTAAAGAGCCTAACGTAAAGTCCGAGCCCCCCCCCCCCCCACTATGGGGCCCCCCCCCCCCCCTCAAAAAAAAAAACAAAACAAAACATAGTAAGAAACCTAGGAAAAAGCATGCAGTTCTAATGCGCAAGCAAAGTAAACACATTATCATATCAAAAATATTTACTAAAGTGTTCAAAGTCCGTGGTAAGTACCACTTAATATACAATCCAAAATGCTGAAAAGTAAGGGTGGCCGAGCCCCACGGACAACCCGGATTCTATCCATATGAAATGACACAAGTCTTAAAAATGAGATATTTTTTTTTCTTCGTCTTCTTATCCTTTCAAGCTCCTAGTGTTGCGTCGTCTAATAGGATATCCAAATGAAAAGAAAAGTACGATCTAAAGGTTCCTCCATCTTTATATGAAAGAGAGGAAAAATGGTAACTCCTCAAGTTGCATGAACTGCTAATGCAAACACAAACAACACAAGCACATGAAACACCATAATTTGATGATACTAGCCAACACCACCATCCTTGAATAGTAGTTACATTGCACTGATTTATAGCCTATTGAACGTTACCCGTATTTCTTATCTCGTGCTTTTTAAATTTAGATAGGTTTAAATATATAATCTATGATTTCATTTCATTGACTTGCTCTAGCTCATTTTACTTTTTCTTGGTTTGCTTGAAAATTGGTTCTACTCCTACGTTGTAAATTTAAAAGGATGAAATTCATAACTTCTTTAATCAACGTCAGATAAATTTTGATGGATTCTATTTTTATTTGGCCATGAATTTATTTTCTGGTTACTATGTTACTTGAAGTCAGAAGAATATTCTTGTCATGTATCGCTTCCATTTTCATGTCTTATGATATTATAATTATCTAACTGCTTGGAATCATTTCTAAATATATTCCGAAAAAATTTCATCTGAAGGAGATGGATGAATTTCCTTTGTAATTGTTGCTATGCCTTTTCTCCACAACAATTTTGAAACTAAAACATATTTTCTTTTTGTGTAGATAGCTTAATATACTATTTTCTGTTTCCCAGGTGGAACAATTGCATAAGATTTTTAGGCTATGTGGATCTCCTTCAGAGGAATACTGGAAGAAGTCAAAGTTACCACATGCAACAATTTTTAAACCACAGCATCCATATAAACGCTGTATAAAAGAGACTTTTAAAGAATTTCCACCGTCATCCTTTCCACTTATTGAAACTCTTCTTGCAATTGAACCAGCCGAACGTCAAACAGCTTCTGTTGCATTAGATAGCGAAGTGAGTTTTTATATTCCAACTTCTTTCCATATTTTAAAAGTACTGACTATTAGGCACAATGTGCTGAATTTCAAATTTACACTCGTTGTATTCTTTTTATGATGGAGTTTTGTCTGGCATGCTGTTAAAAGAGAAAAACAACTTAATAGTTATTATATGCTACTAATGAACTTCTTAAAATGTGGACTACAATTTTTTGGCTGATGCAATTCTTCTATTCATCCTTTAATGCACCAGCACGAAATATAAAACATGATTCACAATTTAGCTATAAGTTTATTTGTTGAATAGTAACAATATTTCTCCCTTCAGAGAAAGATTTTTTATATTTTAAATTTTCCTTTAAACTATTGTTATTGATTTTAGAGGGCAGGGTCTAAGTATAATAACAAATGTGAAAAATTTAATGTATTCCAATCTTGTTTGAATGGGCATAAAGCTAGAAGAAGGAGAAAATTTGAAAACCTCGAAGGCTATACCCAATAGGAGATGAAGGCATAACAAAGAGCAATTTGAAATGCAAATCAAATATTCTTCCACAGGGATTGTTGTCCAAGTTATAGGAGGGCTACCAGATACAATAAGGAGGCTTATTTATCCTCTTTTCAGGAAGGGACTTGATTTAATGTCTCGACTCGAGTTCGAGCTCGGTATCTGAGAGTCGAGCTCGACTCGAACAACGCCTGGCTCGAGCTCGACTCGACTCGTTTACACCCCTAGTCTATACCATTCATTTTAACTCTAATGAATTCAAGAAAAAAATACTCTTCACATTTGTCTCTCCTTCTTGCATGGGCTGACCAAGGCTATTCTCCCCTCAAATTTTCCCGAGGCTTCATCTTACCCCTCCAAATTGAGCCCAACCTCTCCCCTCTCTCTAGTTGTTCACCATTCTACATCTCCCACTGGCACCCTTTTTTCTGTTAGTAATCTCTCCATTTGAGATTTACAAGGGAATGAGTTAATTATGAGCAAAGAGGAAGTAAGGAAATGCCATCAAGCATTCAAGGCAAGCAAAAGAAGAAACCAAGGAGTCTTTAATTCTTTCCTTAGTGTTCATTCCTCTTATATTCATGCAGCTTTCTCACTTAATCTATTGGCTTAAGCCTTGCAACATGGGAATCGTAGTTAATCTTCTTATTTTAAAGGTCCTTCAAACCATATACACGAAGAACCCATCTTTAATTTTCATTAATTCTTTCAAAGGTCAAAACTATTCTCGTTGCTTTGACCCTTGAAACCCACAGCCTCCAGATTTGAGGGTTGAATATTGAATTCATCACTAAGGCGCAAGATAACAATGCATTTAAATTTTAGCTTGTTTGAAAAAGATTGTAGTTGAATTTAAATTTAGATTAATTCCTACAAATATTATTGTTTAGCTTGAACTTATTCATGTTGCTGTTATAGATAAGGGTTTTTATGTTTTTTAGTTGGTTTAGGAATGTATTAGATCTATAATTGCTGCAATTTACATATTTAGAGGCTTGTTTACTGCAGCAAATTCAGTGAAGAATTTTTTAAAAAATAATCTCATCCTATCTCATGCTTCTTAGAAATTCTTAGGCCTAAAAGTACAGCTAGTGTTCTGCGGTTATGTGCTTTAGCTGGAGTTACAACCTCTACAATCCCTTAACTGGGCATTTGTTGCTGTTCCTTAGCTATGTCTTGAAGCCCCATATTACTACTGAAAGCTGCAGCAAAACCATAGGTACAGTACCTGACACCATAGCACAAGCTGCCACGCTTTGTTTTTCTGCAACCTTTTGAATGAACTTGCCGCTGCTGCTGTTTTGAATTTCATCACCGTTGCTACTGCCAGATTAGGCCGAAACTTCCTACCAAAGGAAACCAAAGGTCCAATTGCTTTAGCAAGCAATCTAGTGAGAGTACATCTGTAGGCAATGGAAGGGAAATCTGCTGCTATTTTTCTTTCTGAAGGCTCCAGTTGATTCCAAGGAATAATAGATCCCATTTGCTTTTAACCACCTCACAAGCAAATGAAAAAACATAGCAATTGTTTGCTGTGAAAAATAGAATGAAAAAAAGAAAGAAACTGTTATTCAACTTCTGTCTCATGGAGGTAAAGCCAAAAAAAAGGAGTTTGCTGACCATAATTGAAATGACACAAACTAAGTAGTACTCTTAACTTATGAATTGGATATTGTAGGAGGCTCTTAAAATTGAAATACTATTTAAGCTTGATGATCCAATAAGCTCTCAAATAAAATTTCGAAAATCCACAAGCATTTTTATTAAAGATCATTGGACAAATACAACAAAGTTGTATAATTGGTAGGCTGAAAAGTCAGCCTTTCCCCATATAAAGTTATCATTTCACTGATGTGAAATCCTTCTAAATAGGTAGTTATTGATATGGGGATTAGATCATGAAGGAATGATCAATCTAATCATCCACTTTCAAAGAAGCCTATAAATTGTAGCATCTTTAACGATTTGGGCATCAAATCATGAGATCATGCTCGTTGAAGTTTTAATGGTGTGTTAGTTAACCACAGTGATTTTCAGATGACACTATTTAAATTGAAGGGGATTTCATTAGGAGTTATTAGGTGTGATCAAATAAACAATTTTATATCATATGAGAGATCAATGCTCCAAAATTTAGATTGTTGAATCAAGTTTTTGATTGCAATAATATATGGGTCAATTCTAATATTTAACTTGTTTTGATAAGTTTGTATCTAAATTTAAATTTAAATTCAAATTGGGATAATTTTTACAAGAATTATTGTTTACTTGAACTTATATATGATTGATTTTTTTCTCTTTTTGTGGAGTTTGGTTTAATAATTTATTAGAACTATCCTTGATGTAATTTGCATGTTTAAAAGCTCAATTTTTGCAGTAAATGAAATGGAAAATTCTTCCAAAAAAGCCTCTCTCTTCCTTTCTAATTTCTTCTTTGAATGTATTCGGTCTTAAAGTGTAGCTATATAGCAGGAGTCACATCGTACAATACCGTTATTGGCCTTGCCTGTTACTGTTCCCACAGTAACTTAGGTCATGAAGGGCATATATTACTACTATCCAGTACTATTACTGAGCTGTAGCTAAAGTATCCGGCACTATACCACAATCTGCTTGCCTCTATTTTTCTTGAAGCTGCTGAAATGGTCTTGCTGCTGCCACTGTTTTGAATTGCATCACTGTTGCTGCTATCAGATTTAGGTTAGACTAGCTACACAAATGGAACCAAAGGTCCAATTGATGGTAATATGCGATCTAGCGAGAGCAGAAGTTCAACTTGAGGCGCTGAAGGGTATTCTGCTGCTTTTTTTTCTTTTTGAAGACTACAGAATTGCTGTCCTTGTATGTTTTCTCCTGCCATTTGATTTTAAGGAATATCGGGTGCTTCCACAAGGAAGAATATAATCCCTGTTGTCGTTAACCACATCCAAATAAATGAAGAAAACAGTAAAATTGTTTGCAGTGAACAACAGTATTGGGATGAAGAACAACCATTCGACTTCTGTCCTAGAGGGCAAAGCCAGAAACAAAGAAGGAATTTGTTGCCCATAGTTGGAATATGTCAAACTAAGCGGTACACCTAAGATATTACTTTGAATATTTGTAGTAGGCTCTTAAAAAATGAAATGCTACCTAAGCTTTTTAACCAGGTAGCTCTTAAAAAAATACTAAAAGCTTCATGGAAAAATAATACACAAACCCAACAATTGTTGGTAGGTTGAAACGTTGGCCTTCCTCGGCTTAAAGTTATGATATCACTTGAGTGGATTTATTCTAAATGGCATTGGCGATCATGAAAGCATTGCCAATCTAACAATTCACTTCAAAGAACACGTTCTTTGAAATTTTAATGTTTCTTTTTTTTTTTTTTTGATGGAAATTGTTGATAGTAGTGGTGTTTCAAATCATATTTTTGAGATCAAAGAGGATGTCAACAAGAGTTTGGGCTACATAAAAGCTTTGGAAGTTGGAATGTTGAATTAAATTTCATGTTATAATAGAATAAACATGAGTTATTTTTTGTAAAACTTGTTTGGCTAAGTTTGTATTTGAATTTAATTTCAGATTAAGATAATTTCTTGACGAATTATCTTTTTGCTTGAACTTTTATAGGTTGTTATATATATGATTTTTTTGTTGGAGTTAATTTATGGATGTATTAGATCTATTTTTGTTTTAATTTGCATATTTAATCATCTGATTCTTTTAAACTTGTTTGACTAAGTTTTATTTGAATTTAATTTCAGATTAAGATAATTTCTTGAAGCATTATTGTTTAGTTGGAATTATTTAGGTTATTATTGATTTGTTTTTTCTCGTTTTTGTAGAGTTGGTTTAGAAATGGATTAGATCTATTTTGCTGGAATTTGCATATTTAATTACTTGAAAAATTCTCCCATAAAACTCCTTTTTCATTTCTCTAATCCTCTCCGGAATTCTTTGGCAATAAAATGCAGCTAGCCTTCTGTTATTAGGTCTTATAGCAAGAGCCATTGCTTATAATCCTTTAATAGGGCTTGCTTGTTACTTCCCCCACAGTTGCTTAGGTCCTCAAGTTTCATATTACTTATTCGCAATGTGGCAGAACTGCAGCTACAATATACAATATCTACGATATAGCTCAAGCCACTGCCCTTTATCTTTCTCCAATCTGCTGAATGGTCGTTACCGCTGTTTTGGAATTGCATTATCAATTTATCATTCTTGCTACCAAATTTGGCCTACTTTTGCTACAGAAGGAAACCAAAGGTCCAATTGCTTTACTAAGCAATTCAGTGAGAGCTGAAGTTCACCTGGCAACGCTGGAAGGGAAAACTGCTGCTATTTTCTTTTTTGGATACCACATAATTGTTGTCCCTATCTATTTTCTGCTTCCATTTGATTCCAACGAAAAACAGCTGCTTCCTTTAGGAAGAATTAACCCTTGTTACTGACCACATCACTGCATACGAAAAACCAGTAAAATTATTTGCCGTGAACAGCATAATAGGGTCAAAAACAGCCATTTATTTGTTGTTCCACGTAGTTCAAGTTAAAAATATAGAAGGAATTTCCTGTCCTTAATTTGAACCAGGCAAATAAGGGAGGAAAAGTCATCTGCAAAGTGAAACGACGTTCAGTGTACCTTTAGTTGATTGGATAGACCTATAGGGGGAATCTTTAAGAAAATCATAAAAATATTTTTGAATTCCTTCTAACATCTTATTTTAAACTTGCATCACAATGTTAGAGTTTTGCTACGGATCACTGTCACTTGCTTTGGACATACATAAACCAAAGAAATGTTGTCTGGCCTTAGTAATACTTTCTAGGAAGACACTCTAGCATTTGTATCAGTAAATTTAAGTAAAAACTTAGGGAAGGACTCTATCTAGCCTTTCCCAAGGGCATTAAAAAATTGAAAAGGTTATCAAGGGTTTCAAAGTTGTCTTATCTTTTCCCTTGACGGGGACATTTTTCGATGTTTAGGGGCATTTTTCAATGTTAAGGTGAATAGTAGTTTGGTACTACTGTGAGTATGGAATATGAATTGATGAGATATTTTGTCTAAGAGATTCATGCTAGATGAAAATAACTTTGGTGGAAGGATTTTTGTCCTTGCATCATTCCACGGTTAAAAACACAATACTTCGTCTCTAACATTTGTGTTGAACTATTTTGCTCTTTGTGATGGACAAATATAAGTTTGTTAAGCTTTAAGATTTGTGTCATTGGCAATCAAAGTCAGGTTGTAGGATGGTTTTGAGATTGGTGTTCGGTATCTATATAATGTTAATGCACATGTCAGATGACAAGAAGCTCATGACACTGTTGGTGTTAATGCCCAGTTGTATTGTCTTTCTATGCCATCATGTGATATATATTAACATTAATAACATTTGTTTATATCCATTTTTTTTGTGAAACTAAATCATTTATGCCTACTCTAGTTATATACAATCTAGTATGCTTTGTTCCATTAATCAAAGCGTCTGCTTGTTCATTTTTTTTACTTTTGGAGCACAGGATATTTTTTTATGACATGTAATTTTTATTTATTTTCCAGTTCTTTACAACCCCACCTTTTGCTTGTGAGCCTTCAAGTCTGCCCCAGTATCCTCCCAGCAAGGAGATGGATGCTAAACTAAGGGATGAAGAAGCTAGAAGGTTTATAATTACATACTATTGATATTTTCATTTTATAGTTTTTGTTTTCTTTTTAATTTTTTTTCTTTAAATTTTTATGTCAATTTCTTGAAAAAATAATTATTTCCGGAAAGGAAAATTCTCCCTATTGCTTCGGAGCATAAGGTGTTAGGTGGTCACTTCTCTTATATTTTATGTTCCATAACTAGCAACCTGTAAAATCTATTAGTGGGAATTTGACCATGAAACATACTCAATTGCTCTCGTCACATACTTTAATGTTGTATGAACTTTAACATACTAGATACTACATTACTTCCGGAAAGGAAGAATTGAAGAAATTTTCCCTGTTGCTTCAGAACATAAGGCGTGAGATATTTTTCTTTTTGTTCAGGCCCTAAAGACTAGAAACATATGAAATCCTTAAGTGAGGTTCTGACCTCAAAATATACTCGAATGCTTTTATTTCCATACTTCAACTTTTGAATACATTATGCACTTTAAGTCCATAATTTTAATGTGACAATACTAATTATTAAATGTAAAGGAACGCAATCATTTATCTCAAAGTTGAACGTGATATTCTGCACATTACAAAAATGCTTTACTATATGACTGCCATGATTCCAACAGAGGCCACTCAGCCTTTTGGAGGCCAAATAAACTAAGAGTTTGTGAACTAACACACTACATGAGAGCTGAATTTCCAGATAAAAATATTTTGATGTTATTAATGTAGGCATTGCATAGTTGTATCGAGCATTGTATGTTTGCAAGTTTATCCTAGATTCCTGGTGACTTGCTCCCAATATTTTTATTTGTTGTTAGAGGCACGGGATCAAAACCTAAAAAATGTTACTTTCTGAAACTTGAATACTATTAAATGCTTATTAGTGATCTTTTTATCACTTCTATTTGATGTCATTTATTTTAAGAGCTATTAGCAGTTGAATAAATACTACAACAACAACAACATCAAGCCTTTATCTCACTACGTGGGGTCGGTTACATGAATCATTTTTCTCCATTGTGTCATATTGATGTAGCCGAAAAGGATTCATGTTGCCAACCCCACGTAGTGGGACAAAGGCTTGATGTTGTTGTGTAATGTTAAGAGTTAAATTCTCATTTAAATCTAATAAAAATGGTTATTTCTAATATTTTTTAACTAATTTTTTTAGGTTTACCTCTACGTCACTTAATGCAGGCCAAATTTAATGCATCTACTCTCCTAACTGGTTCATCATAAGGCCGACGTTTTATGTGAACAAAACGTTTAAGACGACTTTCTCTAATCTTATACGCCGCTGGAGCTACTCCAACCTTTTCATGTAAATGCTTGTTTCACATTCTATCTCTATGAGTAAAGCCACTCATCCACCTGAGCATCCTCATTTGCCACTGAAGCTATTAGCAGTTTAATAAATAGAAAAGATAAATTAAAGAAATATTGTTTTAGGTAAAATCCCATTTTATATATTCATTAAAGTACTTGAATCATTCCATGGAGACCCCCCCCTCTCAATTCTCTGTTACATAATTTTGTAATTATAGTGGGATGTCTACATCTTTTTTTTTGCTGGCATTAATATTTTGGAAGCAATGATTTTGTTTGTGTTGGTATTATTTCACTTTCTTTTTCATAGAATTGCTTCCTTGCATCAAGTATAAGGACGGCACTTATCTTTGCATACCAACCAATAAGATTTTCCTTATCAATTTAATTCTTCACTACCTCATAGCTTGAACCTCCCCTCAATTCAGTTGAAGGAATGCAATTAAGTAAACAGAAAAACCTCCTAAACATTATTGTGACCGAATTAGCCTAATCAAATGATCTCCTTTTTTCCTTCCAAAAAGCTTTCCAAAATCTTTTCATCCTTATCTTCGTTAAACAAGTTCTTGATTATCCTCTTAATATTTTGCAATTACCCTAATAAAGCTTTCATTAAAAAAAAAAATTTCAATCCTTTCATACCAACCCCTTCATTGACTCCATATATACCATGAACAACTCATTCTCATAAACAAAATTGCAGACAAATCCTTTCCTATAGTTTATGTGCTACTTTCTTTAACAACTTCCTCAAATCACACACCACCTTCATCTTTCGATTAAACAAATTTAAAACTCATGTATATTATGATCAGAGAATACAATTCACCCCTTATTTCCTTATTTCTTGTTTAATTCCTACGAAACCTCTCACCTAAGATCACGATTCACAATCATACCCTGATACCAATGAAATGAACATTTCTTTCAAATCCCTCCCCCACCCTCAAATGTATCCTTCAATGTAGAAAACCCCACATTCTAGGTTCAATCCAAATATATCCCTAGATAGTTCTTGCCTATATTCCAATGATAGTACATTCCTTATCTTCTACCTTCCAAATTAGTTCAAATTTTCATTCCTTCTTGATGCAGAGCTTTCCTAAGATCCACCATCCATCCTTTGAATGAGCTTCTCTTGTGATTACCCTTCTGCTACTTTTTTTATTTTATGAATCCCATAGCTTTTGGATTGAGCTAAGTCTTCTTATCCATGAATTCATATGAATGAGTCCTCTTCTATGCCATCCATGGTTTTCTTTTGACTAGTCTTATGATCCATTTTCTTATAACTTTCTTCGATTTTTGATGAGATCAAGTCCTACGAATCTTTTATTTTACAGTTTTCTGTTATTCATGCGATCCAGTCTTACGAATTCTCCGAAGGGACCGCATCTTCTCAGTAAGGCTGTACATTCGAGAAAACCACCGACCTGCTACGACCAGCTCGGACAATCTCGGCGCTCTCCTAAGAATCTCGATGAGCTCTGTCTGCAGTAGCCTGTATAGTGGTAACTCTCTATCTCGCATTCGTCTACTGGCACTTGAGACAAATCTGAATTGTCGCAAGAACTCTGCCTACCGGCACATCGACTTCCAAAATTTATTTTTTTCTTAGCCTTGCACAAAGTTATTGTTCGTGATTCCTTTGTTAGGACATTGGGCCCAACTCCAACTTTGCTTCAATGATTCTTGCAAGTTCTACTTAGGGTTGCCTAATGACATTATTATTAGGTTTTTATACTGGCATTATCTACTGCATCTTTAGATTTTTTTTTAGATTTGGTGGTTCCAAAGAACAAAGCTTGTATGATTTTTATGTTTTCTGTTTGCTGTTCTTTCTCAGGTTCGTTTTGTTAGGGCTACTTATGTGGAATTTCAATTGTTCTCTATGATTATCAATTAGGGTCTTAGCCACGAATAGGATCATGCAGTTGATATTTGCATAAAAATTATAGTTGGATATGCTATTCCTTATATTTTAGGGGTTCAATTCTTTGATTAAATGTGACTTGGAGTGTTCAAGATGAGGCTATCTCCTTGTACGATATGCTAGCTTTTGGTGAATTTTTTCTGCAAGTTGTGCTACTCTTCTAAACCTTATTATTGGTTTGAAATTATGATTAGTTTTTATTAAATTTGATGCAATTTTGTTTTTAATAAAAGCATGAATTTCAAAGCATGTGTGACTTTATCGATCATGTATTTCTAATCATTCTTTATAGTATAAGACCACTGAATTTCATTTGAATTGTTTTTTATTGTATTTTTTATTTTCATCGAAGGAAGCAAATAGTTATTATGGATTATGAATTTATGATTTGTGAATTGTGTGCTTGTAACATGATTTTCAGCTTCTCATATTATACCTGATATAGAAACCTTTCACCCTAAGATGTTTTATATCAAATTTGATATTTGAACTTAGGATGTAATATATGATAATATAAGAATGATATAATGTCATGTAAACGAATTCAGTTTAATTATGACTCTAGACACTTTATTTTGAAATAAATAATTATATTTCTACATTTGATGGAAGAAATAGTTCTCTTAAGATTTGATTAATAACTTGAATATTTTTGAAAAAAATATATATTTTTGCTTACACACAAGTTGATTTTGTTAAAACAAAATTAATACGGCTTGCTGAAATATTTTGGCGAAGTGTTGATGCTAAAATAAAATCTACATGGGCACTCAAAATTAAGGAACAATATTTTTTTATTTATTAATAATAAGGACACAATGAATGATCAATTTAAGAATTTTGAGCAAGATTATTATAGTTTATTTGAATGTATTTGAAGTTGTTGTAGCTAAATAATATTTTCCTAGAGATTATTATTGATCGGTATTCATTTTATTTAATATCTTAGCCAAGAAAATAACTATGAATTCAACTGCAATTATTCAGAAACATTAGATAAGGCTTATTACTACAAATTTTATTATATTTTCTCAATCTCTAATATAAAATTTTCCCTGTGCATGTTACATACCTAATCCTGAATGATTGTATTTATTTTGTTTTGTATTGTGCTGAAGCAGATTGTTTAGCTTCCAAAAATATTTTCTTGAGTTCAAATAGATATTATCTTCTCATATTCATTAAAATTATTCATCATGATATCGTTGTCATTTATATTTTTTATCTACATTTATATAATACAAATTTAGATGTATTCCAAATATAAATGAATGCTCAAATATTGTTAAATTTTGATTGTTTTAGAAAATTTTATTGTTTCAGTTATTGGTTTTGCTTAAAGTTTAGATTATTATTTTTAAAGAATTTTGTATGTAATGCTAATTAAATATGTTATCATGTGCATTTAATTATTTTTTCAAAATAAAATAAAACTTGATAGAAGTATTTATGAATTTATCATATGTTATATATATCATATTAATATAATTAAATTTATTTCGAAAATAAATTATAAGTTGTATAGAACATTAAAACTGTACAGACACGCACAAAAGAAAAATTAAAGATTATTTTGATGATAAACACTATTTTCTTTTGGTTGCAAAATAATTGAATAATAAAAAGAGTGGAAGTGAAATGAGACTGAATTGAAAATATGGGATATAGAATGGCTAAAAAAGTTAATCAAGGAAATAGAAATGATATTTGAAAGAAATCGTTTTTTCTCAAACAACTTGGCTTAACATTCCAAAATAATTCTATGGCTATGTATGAGCTCCATGGAGAATTATAGAGTTATTTCTTTTTCTCTCCTACAGAGGGTCAGCTTTATGAATACTTCATTCAGTTTGTTGAATACTGGAAGTTATGTTAAAATGTTTTACATATTTTAATAACTGGTAGCCAGAATTCCTTTGGTCCATTTCTTTTACTTATTTTCTTCTACATTTATGTATCCATCCATCTTTTTGTAAATCTTTTTCTCACCATACTACATTCACTTCATTCAAGTCAAAATTTTAGAAGTTTATTCTTCATAGGTGCTACTCGCTGAGATTGTTCGTGTGGTGGATATTTTTTTCTTCAACCATATAAACTTCAAGATTCTAGCTTTTTTTTGTCATAGTTTGATTGTATGTGCTGATGCTGATTCCTCAATATCATAGTTACTTGTGGGTAATTTAAAAAACTTATATCTTTCATTGCATCTTGTAGGTTAAAAGCCGGTGGTGGCAGGGTTAATGGTGATAGAACAAGGAAGTCTCACAACCGTGATAGACCTTCTAGGGCAGTTCCTGCCCCAGAGGCTAATGCTGAGGTCCAAGCAAACCTTGATGTACGACATGCTGAGCTTCTACATCCTACTGCTTTGTCTCCATTTTGTTACTATAGAATTTCTACTGCAGCACATCTATGTAGCATGCTAAGCATCTGCCTGTTTCGTTTTTTATTGCATTTTCTTCACAATGCATCTTACATTTCTCGTACCAGATTTATATTTCATCTCTGAATGATGAGCACTAATATTGAATTGTTATGATCATAGTTATTTTTGGTTAGTGTTGAATTGTGCCAAGCAGCATTAAAGTCAAACCACATGACCAAAGATTTCTTTCAAAGCTGGCCATAACTTTTTTATTGCTATATTTTGTTGGGGATGGATAGCAAAATTAATATGTGATGTAGAATTAGGCTAACAAATGAATACACAGATCTTCTTTTTGATGGAAGATTTAGATTTGGTGAATTAACTTTTGCAATAAAACCTTTGAACTTCATAGGAAAGCAAGATGTTTGCCAAAAAAAGTTCATTGCTATTAACAATAAAAGTAGTAAAACAAATGAAATTCAAGTCCACAAATAAGATATTTCACCTTCTAATAGACATTAATAGTAAGAAATAGAGATAACGAATGCTTTGCAATCGATTGATTTTGTGCACGAGAAGAAACTAAATTGTAAAGAAAAGGATGATTGAAGAGAAGATAGACAAGAAAGAAGATTAAAATAGTTGATTGATATAATGATGCCATGCAATCGAGTGTTTCTGTGTGAAATTGAGCCCCTTATTCATTGCATTATGAGATACTATAAAATGTTGAAAATTGTGGTGTAAAATGTAAATATTCTTCTATGTCCATATATATGCAATTTTCCAAATTTTGCGTGGGAATGGAATAGTGATTTTGTGAGGATGAGATCTAAATGCAGCTTTTCTAATCATTTTGGGGACTTTCAAGTTTAAAGCAATGATGCAAATGAGTCGAGTCGAGCTCGAGTCATAACTAACTCAAGCTTAGCTCACTAAATTTTTATTAGGATTGAACTAGGGGTCTTTTTTGATTCGAACTCATACACTAAGCTTAAGCTCGGCTTATTAGATTACTGATGTGTTCAAACTTGACTCGTGTACTCAAACTCTCCTGAATTATTTAAATTGCAATGGGAGCTCGCTGGAAGAAGCATTGACACCAATAGCTTCTTAGAGAAGACATTGTGATGGGAACTAATTGGAGAAGGAATGAACGACAATTTGCAACGGAATCTCATTGAAGCGGACATCAATGAGACTAGTGGTGTTTGAAGAAAAAGAGAAGTTTGTGAGACATTTGACTCATGATTTAATCATGGGTTTACGTAGAGTTTATGATTAAGCAGCGGTGTTTTAATAGAAAGATGAGAAATGGGATCTAGGATTTTAGAGAGTGGGAATTTAATTGAGACGGCTCATGATCTGATGAGTCTGGTCAAGCTCATATAATAAATGAGCTATAATCTGAGCATAAGGTCAAGATCATAACTTAATCATCTCAACTTGCAAGCTTGTTAACGATTGAATTCAAGCCTGCTTGTAAAGTTAAAGTTAAAGTTCATGAACTTACTGGTATATGTAAAACACGGCCTAGAGATCTTCAAGTAAGATTTTTACTTAAATATATAAATAATTTTATTGTTGATGAAAAAATGGTCTTGCATAAAATCTTAAGTTGTTCACCTTTTCTGTTTCCCTCTTATTTTATTGTATTTTTAATTTTCAGAAAAAAGTTGTTCTTATCATTATTCTGATCCCGAGGGAGGATCCTATATGGATTCTTTAGAAGAGAATAAGCATACTTTCAAAGACTACTTTAAAATGAAATTTCATACCTCGACATGTTTTCTTGCTGATTGATTCTGCAACAAAAACATACACTTTAGCGTCTTCCTATTGAACAAATCTTTTATGTTGTGAATAATTACCTTCATCTGTGTACATATTTTCATCCAATTATGATGAATTTGCTCAAGATATTTGAATTTATTAGTTTTTTTTTTCTATTCTTCTTTTTTTCCGACAGAGACGGCGCCAGATAACACATGCAAATGCAAAGAGCAAGAGCGAGAAATTCCCACCCCCTCATCAGGACGGTGCGCTCGGCTATCCTATTGGATCTCCAAATCACATCGATTCGACTTTCGATCCACCCGATGTTCCTTATAGCTCAGTTTTCCCCTACCAGAAGGGCCAATCAGTCTCTACCTGGTCCGGGCCACTAGTGAAATCTGCAGCTGCAGACAATCCCAGGAGAAAGAAACAAGGTACTAATCGTTTCTCATCAAAAAATATTACTGGATCTAAAGAAGTCCAGAAAATTCAGGACTAAAAACACTCATCTTAGTTTAAAGTCCAAAGCTGTTGATTGGACAGAGAGGTAAAGATCCTGCTATCATTCTTTTTATCTTTTTTGTTCCTTCATTTTCCTTAGTCTGTCATGTTTTCTAGACAATTTAGCTGAAATGGAGATGCGGGGAAGAAGGCGTTCTACAATTTTGTATATATTTTGTATTTTTTTCCTTCTTTTTTTTAATGTATTTTTCATTCAGACTAGCTGTTGGTTAGTTTATTATTGGGACAGAATAAAATTGGTATTTGCAAATCCAATTTAATTGAACTGTTGTTTTTTAAGTCTCAGGACTTACATAGTGATTCAATGGAACCCTATTGATTATTATTGATGTTGTTAATGCTGTTCTTTTTACAACTAAAATGGTCACACATTACCTCATTCTTAATGGTGATTTTAAATAAAGATGACTAAAACAACAATAACAACATCAAATCATTATCCCACTATGTGGGATCGGTTACAGGAATCCTTTTTCTCCATTTTGTCATGTTAAGGAGAAATTATTTTGTGTGGAGATCTGATGCAGAGCGTTGTCCGGAGACCAACTAGAATGTGCCACGTCAACAGTACCGAGCCGCGGTACCGAGCTAGGGGTGGTGTAGTGTATTCTGGTTGGTCTCCAGACAGTGTTTTGCGTCCGCACAAAATAATGATTTCTTGTTAAGAGGCAATTTCTCGTTTAAATTTACTAAAGAAAGATCATTTTTAATGTTTTCTAACCAAGTAATTAAATAAAGATGACTGTATGAGATAAATTACATTAAGGTTTTTAATCAAGTAATTAGCAAAAGTTTCTTAGTGGTTTTGATGATTTTGTCTACTTGTACAATTTCCCTTTACCAAATAGTGAATTTGTGATTATTGCATAATCTGTTTCTCTTAACAATCAAGTTTGTGTATACAAAGCTTTAATCTCAGCTACACATTCATGAAAATATTTATGAACTTTTTCTATTATTGGAGTTATAAATCTCACAAGTGGCTTTTCCTAGAGATGTATGAATGTGTTTTTTTTCTCTTTTGTGACATTGTAAGTAACATCAATGGGCCTCTTTCTTGTTATGTGTTTTCTTGCTATTTGAATTTGTAAGTCTCATTTTTTATCATTCATATGGATATAAAGCAATAGAAATCCCTTGAAGATGATCTCATATGTTATATATTGTCTCTCTACCTCATATCATCATCACACTAAGATCATGATTGTGTAATAGTAAATTGAATATCTATTGCATCAAAATGGTGCTCAATTACTCCCTTATATGGCAAGTGGATTGATATGACTTTATTTGTAAGAATTAATGCTCGAGGTTCCAATATCAATATAGTAAACTATGCATTGAAAGTAAATTAACAAGTACTTCATATAATATGGCAGGGCAGGAAGTAATAGATTTTTTTTTTCAGACCCTTCCTTGTACATCTCTTTAGAAACACATCGAAATTTAGGCCTATATGACTCTCTATGCTGGCATATAAGAAAACAAATTATTATGACCCCCAATACTTAACATATATTAGATATCGAGAAATTTAAGACCTGACTACCTATGCATTCAATGCTAGAATTTTCTCCCACATTAGAACTCTACAAAATCACACATTTCAAGCAGATAAATACATGTATTATTGCATTGCAATAAAAAAAAAGATAATGAATGAATTTCAAAAATTCATGTAATATTTTATCGACATGCAACATATTTTACTATTGAAGATAATCTTATAGTTTTAGAATTTTATTAGATTATTAGTGATGGTTCAGAATACTATTTTGAAGTTTTTATTTTGCTAAGTAATAATTTTTTATAATCAAAATTATTTTCTAATTTCATAAAAGTTACGCAAAAATTTGCACTTTTCAAATAGTCATACTTTTTTTTCGAAAATACTTAAATATCCAAAATAAAAGGTTCTATAACACATCAAAAGTTATACGATGAAAGTTTAGTGGGTGAAAAATTTTTTTTACCCTATGAAATTATAAATTAAATTAAAAAAAAATTGAATTTTTTTTTTTTTTTTTGCATTTTTTGAAAATTGAGATACACAAGACATAATCTATATTGATAATTCGATAAAAAATAATTTGAAGTCACCAAAACCTAGCTTTATCTCTCTATGATTCTCTCTCTCTAATCGGTTGCCTCTAAGAAGCTATATGCTTGTTGTGCATTCACAAAATGTGATGCCCCTAGAAATCTTTGTTAGTCCTCCAATGTTGTCTATGAGCCTCCCATAAACTCCATCACAAAAGTCGATGTTGTGATTGTGCGACGCCCGCAACGAATGTGTCGTGGACCTATGTTCAAATTTGGTTCAAGAGTGTTCAAATCATTTTCTATCACAAACAACTTAAATAAATTTCGATAATACATGAGAGATTATTTGGTAAAAATAAACTTTAAGGAATTTTTTTTTTAAGTAAAACAGTATTAGTTTTTCTTTAATATTTCTCAGAATTATGAGATAGATAAAGTTAAATTTTGCTCTTTTTTTTTTTACTTTGTTTACAGATTTAAAATGTTCGTATTAAAGTTTTCTTTTTTTTCTTGGTTGGCCTTCTCGAACCGTACCGAGTTCTCTCCCGCTGCGCAGATATCAGTTAGGGTTTTAGCATCACCTGAGTGTCGTAGAGGCAAATATCGATTGTCGCCGGAATTCGAGAAGCAAAAAAGATAGCCGCTGTAATGCGCAGATGAACAGCCTCCGATTTTGCCGATAGATCTTTTTTCTTTGGGGTAAATTCTTGCCTATAGATATTAGAGAAGTTTATGTTCTCAAAGCTAGGGTTTTGGAGAACATCTTAATTTGCGCAGAGGCAAATTTCCTCTTTTACTTGATTTCGAGAAGCAAACAAGGCGGTCGCTTAAATGTACAGAAGAAGAACACTTGGTCTCGCCGTTCGATCAATCTTATCCCTTTCCCATGTCGGGTCTTCCTCTCTCCTTCTCTCCCGTCTATATATTTCAAGCGAAGCCTTCTCCGATGCTTTCAAAACCTCACCTTTTGTCTCCGGAAGGCGGCTATTCACCGCCGCTAGAACAGAATTCGCTGCGGAGGACACAGTAGATGGCCACATCCCTTTTAGGTCTTCCGGAGAAAATAATCAGCTTGCGGGTACCATATTTAACGGCGGCAACTCAGATGGATATTTCAGAGGTAACCCTCATAACGATAAAAATTACACGAATCCCAGTGAGGTTCAGATGAAGTTTTATGGGGAATCCTGTCAAGCTGGTGGTGGTCTTCACTGGAATGGAGAGGCTCAGAAGCAGAATTCTGATGCCAATGGCTTGAGGATTCAAGGGCAGTTCATGCCAAACTATAATTACGGCAGTGGGAGCTCGGGGGGACATTATCAAAATGAAAGCAGGTTTATTGATCAGCAAAAATCTAACTTGCTTGATGGTGGGAGGAAATGCTCTGAGGAATTCTATTCTGTTTCGACTAATGGACATTCAAGTGGTAATATTGGCCAAAGCTTGCATATAAGCAACCATGGAAATCGTGAGTACTTATCTGGGAAACCTTATGTGGATGCTGGAGTGAATAGTGGACAAGTTCATCAAAGCTCCCATTGGAATCATCCACAGTTTCAGACTAACGTGCAATTGATTAATCGGGGAGAAGGTTTTCTTCACAATCCTTATTATATGGGAACACCTAGTAACATTCAGCAGAACCCAAATGAGTATCACCATGCTTCTATTTCTTTGAATGAGAGGATTATTTCTCCTCCAGATGTTTCTAACCAAAATAATGAAGCCAATAATACAGCTGATAGTGGTGATACAAATACCTACAAGGGTACTCTTGAGGAGCTTGATGAGTTATGCAATGAGGAAAGAGTAAAAGATGCCGTCGAAGTTTTTATTTTGTTGGTTAAACGAGGAGTCGCTATTGATATACCTAGATGTTTGCTTCTGCTACAGCTCTTTGTTGATATCAAGCATTTGGATTCTGCAAGACATGTTCATGATCATATATCCATGTCAGGAGAAAATGCCGGGGTTGTGGCTTATAACAAGTTATTAGATGCATATCTTAGGTGTGGTTCAATTGCTGATGCTTACCAGCTCTTTGAGAAAATGCCTCAGCGAAATCTGACATCATGGGACACTATGATAAAGGGGCTGGCTCAAGATGGCCTTGGAGAGGAAGCGATCAACCTTTTCACACAGTTCAAGAAATTGGGATTGAAGCCAGATGGAGGGATGTTTAACACTGTTTTCTCTGCTTGTAGCGTGATAGGAGCTGTTGATGAAGGAATGCTACATTTCAAATCGATGGCAATGGATTTTGGTATCAGTCCATCCATGGAAAACTATTCAAGTGTGGTGGACATGCTTGGAAGTTGTGGTTATCTGAATGAAGCTTTTGAGGTCATTGAAAGAATGCCGGTGGAGCCAACAATTGATATTTGGGAAACCTTAATGAATCTTTGTAGAGTTAATGGGGATGCAAAGCTTGGAGATAGATGTGCTGATATTATTGAATACTACAATCCTACCAGATTAACGGAGCAGTCTAAGAAAGGTCTTTTGCCTGTGAAAACAGTGGACAACAAAAAAAAAGTAAAGAATTCTGACTCTACTGAATTAGCAAAAAGGTTTTGTAAGCAACGCGAGTATCGAGCTGGGGAGAGGTCTCATCCAGAAGATGACTTGGTCTATGAACAAATCCGAGGGCTCTTACCGCAACTGAAAGATGCGGGATATGTTCCTGAAATTAAATGTGTACTCCATGATATTGACAAGGAATCAAGGGAGGAAGCTTTACTCTACCATAGTGAAAGATTGGCTCTTGCTTATGCGCTCATGACCACCCCGGCGCGCCAAACAGTTCGGATTATGAAAAATCTTCGTGTTTGTGTGGACTGTCATAATGCTTTGAAGATTATCTCAAAGATAGTTGGTCGATTAGTAATAGCTCGGGATGCTAAGAGGTTTCACCATTTTCAGGATGGTGAGTGTAGCTGTCGTGATTACTGGTGAAGGTATAGATAACTTTCTAGTGGAAATGTTTTAGGTTCTTTTCTATTCATCAAGAAAATCATATGAAGAAGTTATATTAATCATTTAAATTCCCAGTTGCTATTTCTTTTTTAAATTTATGAGCCATTTGTCTTTCTGAGTTTAATTATCAATCATTCGTTTTCTTTGACTTTATTTACTTAATCCCAATTTGCAACTATTTTAGTTTCTTTACTTCGTAACCCAAATTAATATGTGTTGGAGTTTGCCATGCTTTTTTTCATTCAGATTCTTCGACTTTGCTGCCCGCCAAGTGGATACAACTTAAAGATAGGATTTCGGTAACAATTTACCTGCAATTTTATTTTCTTCGACTAAGCTTCTCTATATAAAGTCAATGTTTGCGATCATTAAAAATAATTAGCAAGTCTGATCTGTTAATAATTAATAAACACTTTCTTTGTTTGGTTATTTCTCATCTTTTAGTTCAAGATAATTTTGTGGTTTATTTCTTGTAAACATGTTTAAAATGCCTTAATAATCAAATGGTGATGTGATACTCTCAAACAATTTCTTCTTTAGTATAACCTGATGAAGAAAATACATGGAAGTATAACTGGATTGTCTTTCATTTACATGCAACAGTAGCTATGGTAAGTTAAAGTCACTGTTTCAATGTAATTAAAAGCATGTCTAGAGGGTAAACTTTGAGTATCTTATGCTGTATACTATTTTCACCCAACTGGAAGAATTTTGTGCTACAGATAATTGCCTTACAATCTATATCATGAAGTTAATTTGGTTTATGTGTTTCAATGTAATTTCCTAAACCCTAAATTTAAAGAAATAAATCAAAACTAGCTTATTTGTTCCCCTGAAATACCCTCATCCCATGCAGACAAAGCTAAGCTTGACAGAGGTTTATTAGTTTTTTCTTTGTTTGTTTCACCAACAGGTTTGCCAATTTTTTGTTAATTGGAGAGAATATTTTATGGATTCATCAAAATGACACTTCTGAGGTTCCTAATGGAGGAAATGACCGTTATCTTTAGTAGCTATAAATTATCAAAATGAAAATTTAAAATCTATGTTCCTGTGGCTCTTAACATCAACTAGTTGGATTATCCTTTATTCACTGCAGCGAGATTATAACACCCTGTCCTATAATCTATAAAAAAATTTGGACCTACTCAATCGAGTTGGACTGACCTGGATTTTGCTGTCTAAGGTTTCGTTTGGGAGAGTTTTTTGTCACTATTTTTTTGTTCCTTTCAAGAAATTGTTGAAGTAAAAAGCTGCTTTAAAAAACAGTAAAAAAATTATCCCAAATGATTCTTAAGAAGACAGTTTACAATCTTTTTGTGATGGCTATATCTGTTTGTCAAAATAGATGTAGAACTTTTTTTTTGGAAGTTGTAAGTATTATATATATATATATAAGTCCAATAACGGCTTTTTTAATTATTGTAAAATATTAATATATCTTATTACAAAAAGTTATTTGTCCCCCAAAACTTTTAAAGAAGCAAAGATTATGAGAAAAATAAATATATGAAAAAGCTATCACAATTGGGATGAATTACTCTATGGAAAACTGTTTGGTTTGTCTTTGTGAACTACGCTTTTATTATTTATGTTGCTTTTACTGTTCACGGATACAAAATCAGATGATTATTTCTATACGATGTCTTCAACTCTGCAAAGAATAATTTTTCACCCTTAATATTTGCATTCTGTGTTTTCAAGTTTATTGCTCTGACAGAACCCGGCTGACCTGCTGTTGAAAAACTGCTTCATCTGCTGTTACTTCACCCTTTGCCGTATCGTTTTAGTTTCCTGATCAACAATATTTACTTCCAAATTCTGCTGTTCGGTTCTTCATCTTGGATTTTGGTGATTTCAGTTCATCATACTTCGATTCTTAGGACATAAACTGACTAAACTTGAGGATATTGGCTGTTTTTTAGTTTTTTTTTTTCATCTGGCTTTCTAATGATCCAGGTGCTGTGCTGCAAGAACTGCATTGATCATTTGATTTGGTTATTAGGTATTTTTCTGGTGTTTATAGATCTTACTGATTGGTTCTAACTCATATATATCCTTGATGATGTGAGAAGAACTCTTTACTATGGAGGTCTTATAAATTATATTTTTTTATTCAGTTCTTAAGAAGGTGCAGTTCAGGTGTTATGGGCAACTTTGGGGATGATACTACGGCTGCTTCCCACACACATTTGAAAAAGAAAATATTCTTTCGTGGTGGGATCTATCCAATGGGATGCTCAAAATTACTTAGGTTTTATTTGAGACAATTTTTTTATTGCTTTATGAAGTGGTGGTGAAAAACTATCTCAAATGAAGTATTAGGTTTTCTTTTAGACGGTTTTTTCCGACTTCTTAAAGTTGCTTTAAAAAAAAAATTTTTTTTACTAAAAAGTTACTTTTAAGTGGTAAAAAGTTGCCCCAATTGAAGCCTTAGACTTCGTTTGAGACACCTTTCTTATTGATTTCTGAGGTTGCTTTCTAGCACAAAGTTTTTTAGTTTGATAAATATTTGTACTAAAAGTTGCTTTAGAAAAATAGTGAAAAATATTTCTCAAACAAAAACTTAGGCTCAAGTTTGGGAGCAATTATTACCTTCGGTCACCGAATGCGTTCATAGACCAATAACCACGTGTCATATAACCCGAAACTTGGTATTGAGGACTCGGTATTGCTCGGAATACATTCAGATACGTTCGGTTTTGATCGGACGTAATAATTGCTCCAGGTTTGGAGTGGTGGGTAAAGGCAGTTTTGAAGATGTTGTGAAAAAATCAATTTCTTAGAAAGCTGAATGCGATCGTGGTTTGAAATATAAATTAAAGAAAAAGCTCTCAAATAGACGGCTTTTTTAATGCTGCTTAAAGTAAATTTTTAGCATAAATTTTTTTTTTGCGCTAAAAAATTGTTTTTCTTGTTTTTATGTTTTGCCAATTTTTTGTATTTGAAAATGTTTGTTAGACAGTTGGAACTTGGAAGTATTAATAAATTAATTTGATCTAAGCTATGATAGATGCAATATTTCTTATTTTTGTTTTCTTAAAATATATTTTCCTAATTTGAGAAAGGGTAATCATTAATTATTTTATTATCTTCTTTCTAAATTTAAGTACCCTAATTATATGACTAATTTAACTCTAATTAGGTACTTAATAATGCCTATAATTTTAGAATACTTATGAGCATGCATTGATTAACAAGTTTAGAATTGGATTGCATGGTTTGATTTAACATATTAGAATGAATTAGGTTTGGGGTTGGGTCAACCTCATTATTTAAATTGGTAATCCAAATTAGTTGTTTGTGCTTTAGACCTTTAAAAAAATTGTTAGTATTAATTAAGAGATTAACTTATGGTTCTTTTTTGAATAATTATACAATATTTATTAAACCAAATTCATTAATTTTCTTAATTATAATAATTTATTTTATTATTTGTTGTGTTTGTTACCCCTCAATGAATTAACTAATTGCATTGAACAATTTACTTAATATGAGATTGAGCATAAAGTACCACACTCCCAAAATTAATGTTACTAATGGGAGTGATTTTTTCATTTGCCAAAGCAAAATTTTAGAAAATTGATATAATCACTTTAGATATATTTAAATTTTGTTTGGGACATTTTTTTTACTGCTTCTTAAAACAACCTTTTAGTACAAAAAATTTTAAAGTTTTAACCATAAAATTATTTTAAGAAACAGTAAAAAAGTTGTCCCAAACGAAGTCTTAGGCTTCTTTTGGGACGGCTTTTTTATTGCTTTCTAAAATAAAGTTTTAATACAAAAATAAAAAATTTTGTCGTTTTAGAAAGCAATAAAAAAATCGTCCCAAACAAAGCCTTAATCTCTAAAAAAAATTGCACATTAGTATAAATCTTATCAACCACACTATTCATATGCATGAAGTCATACATTTTGAAAAAAAAAATTATTAGGATATCTAGCCCCTTTTTCTATTAGGATATCTTTAAAATTATTAAGCTTGACATTTAAAAATTATATATTACATGTTTGATTAATTCATATATTCTTTAGAATTTATTAAAAAAATGAAGGATTATATTTATTATTATTGAAGGATTACATGTTTGATTAGTTCTATGATTTTGACATGGAACACTAAACAAAAATTGAAAATATTTATTATTATTTTCATGGCAAAATAACATATAAAATAGCAGCAGCTTAGGTATTTTGAACTAAAAAATTATGAGGATTTTCAAATTCAGTCTGGTAAGCATCCCATTAGATTGAAGAACGGATAGTAGGAGCAACTCTCCTTTGCTACTCCTATTAATAGAAGGCCACTGATGAAAAAGCTCCTCATATAGAGGGATAGACTCCTCATAACAACATTCATAGATTGATAGAATAGAAACCAAATGTAATTCTCTTTAGGTAATAGTTAGTTTCTTCGAGCCCATCTAACATGTGTTCATATTGGAATCCCAGAACTCGAGCATTTCTTTAATCCACGAAGGAGTGATATCCTGGAAGATGGGAAGATGAAAGGTATGTTTGGGCAGTGGTTTGATGATGATTTGTAGGGGTGTCAATAATTGATCTGACCGTCAACCCGATCTAAAAAATATGAGTTTGGTTTCACGCGTTTAATAAACGGGTCAGATTCGGATTGAGTTTTTTTTTATTCATTCATTAAGTATGTCAAATTTGGGCTGACCCACGAACTTATTTTTGACATGAAAATGATTCATTTAACATATTTATTTCTTACTGGGGGGTCCTTGGGGTTTACTTCCAAAACTAAAAATAGGATTTTGGAATGAAGAAGGAGGCAGAGGCTTTTGAAAATTTCGGCCAAGAGAGGTGGATGATGGCTTGACTTATCTCCAAGAGAGGAGATTGGCTTTAGGAATAAATCCAAGGGGGAATTATATTGGGGCTGGCGACAAAGGGAGACTAGGGAGGGATTTATAGAAGCATTTAATGCTTCCTTGAGCTAGGGAATTAAATTTGGGAAGAGATGTTTCCTCCCAGTTTAATTTAAAACTCAAATAGGAAGGGATTTGGAAACTTTCATAAAATATGATTGGTATTTTAGGTAACTTTTCAAATTCAAATAGATTTGAATTTGTAAAGTAATTGAGTTACCTAAAATATTAAAATCCAATTAGAAAAGAGGTAATTGCAAGCAATGATGGCGGGAAAACCCAAAGGAGGGAGGGGGCAACGATTTTGGCTTGGGGTTTGGTTGGGGAGAGGGCTGGCAGTTGGGGTGGGGTTTTGGAGACGTGGGTCGTTGGTTGTGTGGGAGGAGGGTGGTTGTTTGAGGTGGTAGTGGTGGGATGAGCTAAAGAGTAGGAAGGTGGTGAGGATCGGCGACTTGAAGGGGAGGGGGTGTATGGGCTGCCAGGTTAGGGTGGAGAATGGGAGGAAGAAAAGATAAGACAAACTAGCCACGAGCCTGAACTCTTCCAAAGCTGGCGCCTGGTGGGTAATACGATTCCCTCTCCCATGGTTTTCACTCCCAAAAGCTCTCAAGCTCTTTCAAGAATTCACAATGCAGAAAATTTTATTCTTCAATCATTAATCATGAAAAGAGAACATAAGGGTTATATATAGCCTTATACAATGGTCTCAAGAAATAAAAGACGATGATGCCCTTTGGGTTTACACATGACCTCCCTTAAGTAAGAGGTAAAAATGGGAAAACAAATAAAGAAATTACAAACATAAATAAATAAAAGATAAATACTTAATACGATTTAAAAATACATCGACTCGATCGTGGCTGTAGATTGACGGTCACGTCTCTGATAAACTTTCCAAGCTCCGATGTCCCCATCAGAAGGAAGAGAGATAAGAGAGAAATCTGCCTCTGGAGCCTTTCCATTCATTTCCCAAGTTATACAAGTTGTTTTGAACTGAAAAATACCATGAATCCTATTTCTATTTTCGATGATTTTGAGTTTTAGTTTTTAATCTCTCATAAATCTGATTAAAATACAAAATCTCTTGATTTAATGAACTTTCACCGCATACATTTTGATATATAATGGATACGATTATACTACACATTTTGATATGATCATCTTGTTGTTTCACTTGACAAAATTGCATGTACAATTTTAATAACTAAACTAGCAAGAATAAAGGTACACAAGAAAACACCTTAGGGATGTTGCATTAGGTTTGACATGACAATATGCATTTTATATAAATTCATGAGTATGATATGGTATTGTTATAGTTATACTGATGGTATAATATTGAAATAATTTACATGTTGCTTTAGATGCATATATATTATACATTGCATAATATTATGATTGATAATAATATAACATTGGTGTGTGATGCAACAAAGGCTAGCTAGTTACAAATTGATTTAGGTTAATTGAGCAAGATATCCTATAGAGGATGATGGGCTAAGAGGCCTTTAAATCATGAGTTTGTGGTGTAATCCAAATATAAGATATAAGATACAAAATATGGAGATATAAGTGAAAAAGATTCGCCGATGGACATAAGTGATAACTCTTACAAGATGGCCACCTGATATCGACACATGATTATGATACAATAATGTGTGACAACATATAGGAAAACACCATATGATTAGTAGGATATCATGACTTATATTAATATGAATATTTGCATGCATATATGACAAGATGACTAGGAATAACATGAACATACATAAGTTATATGATATAGGAGTTGAAGCACATGATATAATACATGAACTTCATGCATAATGACATTGATATAGATACATATATGTGATACACTTCATACATGATATAGTTACATATTGCACAAATAATATGATAGGAAATAAAAATAATATTCATGTCATTGACTTGCATTGATAATTGTTAAAATCAAGATATAATTGCATTACTTTGAATGATTCCATATATTCTTTTTATAGTCCTTTCATATGTTTGAATAGAAGTGAGTCAATGATTACTGCTCACTTTGATTACAATTCATATTGATTGATACTCTTAATGTTGACCATTATTATCCATACAGATATGTTCATATGCATATGAATTTATGATAACCATATTCTGCTATTGATTTGAATGATTTCATGCATATTGTTCCACTTTCCTTGCATTGCGTGCAGTGGCAAGTTCATGTGACTTATTGAGCTTATGCTCATTATGTGATTTTTCAAGATTTCAGGGAAGGAAAAGGATCTCATGGAGTGAGGCGGTTCTTCTTCCAGTTTAGGTATATATATATATATTGTTTATTTAATTTTACTCATGGTCCTCATGGATGTATAAGAGATTGATTGATTGGAAAGATAAATCAATGATGAATGTAAATAATTGATATGTCATCAAAAAATTATCTTGATCGAGCACAAATCTCAATGCAAAATCAAGTTTGAAACTTTGAAATTAAAATTGGGACCATCCAAACTCTAATTTTAGCAAACTTATAGTCAAACTAAACTTCTTGAGAATACGAACCCAACGACACCAAATTCAACCCAATTTGAGCCCAAATGGGTCCAAATTAAGGGTTATATGCACTGTTGGAAGGTTCAAATCACAATTTGAATTACCAAACGGTTTCTAAACATAACATGTTTATAGTTGAATCGAGCGGCTCGAAGAGATGAATCCAATGAGCCTAAGATCACCGAATTCCGACATCACTAAGACATTCAAATGTCCATCAAACGGTCCATGATCAAGGGATTCAACATCGGCCGTCCATCCAACCACTCTTTATTTGCCCTTGATCTCCCACCTATTTACGCATCATGCCCTCCAAAAATATATGAATAGAGCCCCCTTTCTCTTGAAAAGGGATCCCAAGCCAAAAGATTCAAAAGAGAGATCAGAGACAGCTCTTGCCTCCTTGCTCCTCCTTGACCACCGCCGGACTTCCACCGGACCCCCGCCTGATGTCGTTGCTCCGTCGGACTATCACTTGAGGCCCTCACCTCTGTCATACCACCACTTGAGGCCCTCACATCCGTCGGACCACTACATGACGTTATTGCTTCGTTGGACCACCACTTGATTCCCTCACTTCCGCCGGACCACAACTTGAAGCCCTCACCTTCGCTAGACCACCGCCTAACGTCGTTGCTTCATCCGACCACCACTTGAAGCCCCCACCTCCGACGGACCACCGCCTGATGTCATTGCTCCACCGGACCACCACTTAAAGCCCTCACCTCCAACAGACCACCGCCTGACGTCGTTGCTCCATCGGACCACCACTTGAAGCCCTCACCTATGTCGGACCACCGCCTGATGTCGTTGCTCCATCTGACCACCACTTGAAGCCCTCACCTCATCGGAACACCGCCTGATGTTATTGCTCCACTGGACCACCGCCTGACCTCGTTGCTTCGCCGAACCACCACTTGAAGCCCTCACCTTCGCCAAACCACCGCCTCTTGTCGTTGCTCCACCAAACCACCACTTGAAGCCCTAAACTCCACCAGACCACCGCTTGACGTCGTTGCTCCACCAGACAACCACTTGAGGCACTCACCTCCGCCAGACCACTGCCTGACATCGTTGCTCTTTCGGACCACCACTTGAGGCCCTCACCTCTACCGTGCCTCCACTTAAGGCCCTCACCTCCGTCAGACCACCACTTGAGGTCCTTACCTCTCCCGTACCACCACCTGACTCCTAAAGTTCTACGAGACCACCACCTAAGGCCTGAAGTTCCGTCGAACCACCCCTAGAGGCCTAGACTTTTGTCAGTCCACCACTTAAGGACTGAAGTTCTGTGAGACCACCACCTAAGGCTCGGATTTACGCCGGAACACCAACTGATGCCTGGATTTTCAAGTAGCACCGGACTTCTGCCAGTCCACCAAGTGACGCTATACTTTCATCCTCATTTGTCACTAAATTTCAACCAAACAGTTGACATTTGTAATCTGATTGCCCTCAGGGACAAGTCAGCCTATTGTAATCTACCCAAAACATTAATGGAATCATTTCAGACTGGGCCAGGCCCTATGATTTTCCCCTTTCAAGATTTTCCACGTAAAAATGTCTTGTGTTCTCTGTGTATGAGCTGAATATTCGTATAACGCTAAGACGTAGTATTTTAACTCTATCGTTGCGTATATTCTAGCCTGCAATAATGATTTTTGAAATGAATGTAAATATATATTTTGAAAGCATGAAAATGAAAGATAGCTTTTGCAGTGCATAGTATTTTATATGAATGATTTTTAATAGTTGTGGTATGTGATTAGAAAATTTAAAATAATTAATTATTTCAAATTGGATCTTAGGGCGTCACAGATAGTGAAGTCCTATTTATATTTTTTGAAAGTGTCAAGTCCCGTATATAACTAAACTTCTGAATACATTGATTCCTTAGATTATAAATCATTATTTCAGCATCTAACTCTTACTGATGTCAGATTAAGTGTTTATGGGCTTATAAGATTTTTCTTGTTGAGACGCTCGATTTGATTAGAACCATACAATATTTGGATATTATCTATTCCTCCAATTATCATCTCAAAGTTTTCAATTATATTTCAAGTGTTTGATATGAACCCAGTTGGACTCAGATCAAATTATTTTTGGTGGTGTTGCTTTAATCTCATCAAGATGCTCAATTTAAATAAAGATTAGGATTTATCCTTAATCAAGTTTTTTTTTAATAACAATGATACATTGCACACTCATTTTCACATATTTGCTATATTACTTTGAGCTGTTGTTATATTAAAAAGGGCAATTTTTTAAACTAAGTACAATTTAAATTTTAATTAAGCGATTAACCAATGAAAAAAAAAATTTAAACTCGCCAAAGTCGCCTGTTGAACGGGCGACTTTCTTCTTTAGGATAAGTCGCCAGTTAAACGGGCGACTTAGCTCTTTTCTTTAACCCCCCGCGGAGACCCCTTTCTTGCCCTAAATCTGTGTTGCTTTCGGCGAAGAAGGATTCGGCGAGCTCGGCATATCCGTGAGGTAAGGGTGTTTTTAATTTTTTTTTTTATGTTTTTGTGTTAATTTTCTTTATTTTATGAGTTTTTTTTCATTTAAATTACTTATGTTGGATGTTTAGAGTTACTTTAGTGATTAGATTTAGGATTTGTGTGTGCTTTGTAGTATTTTTTTGTGAAAGCATGAGGAAAACTTATTTTTTGCTAGGATTTATTTGGGAAAATGTAGATTCTTTTTTTTTTTTTGAGATTTTGTTGTTTATGTAACTAAATTTTTGTGAAACTTTTTGTGAAAAAAACATCAAAAAATCTTAATTTGATTTGTGGGCGGTGTTTTTTGAGATATTTTTGAATTAATGAAATTAATATATGAAAATTTTATAAAAAAAATGAAAGGTTATAAGGATATTTTTGAATAAAATTGATTTAAATTTATATTATATATTTCATCAAATTAATATAAGGATATTTTTGTTCATTTTCTTTCGTTTCTTAGATAACGTAATTTTCTTTGTCAAATATTAATACGAAAGTCATTGATTCGTGTTAATGTCAGATTTTGATATCGAAGTACAATATAGATCATTGTGGGCAAGTAAAAGTTTTCTCTATTAAAAAAAATTTAAAAATATTTATCCTTTTGTGAAAAAAAAAAAGATATATATTTATATATATATATATATATATATATATATATATATATATATACCAAATCCAACTTTTATTCATAAAACAGAATATATAATAATTAATCATAATCCTTTTTAGTTGCAATTTTTTTTTTATATTCACAAGATTAAGTCCCCCGTTCAACGGGCGACTTATTACAATTACATAATCCCGTTACTTCAAGAAATAACGGTTAGTTGAGTTATTGAGGGATAAATATATAAGTTAAACGGGCGATTTTGACGAGTTTAAAATTTTTATTTTTTGTTGGTTAATCGCTTAATTATAATTAATATGATACTTACTTTAAAAAATTGCCCTTTAAAATGTGATAAGTCTCACCTAACGGCAGCTTAAATATCCCATCCTACATATAATAGGGGAATTTAAAAGAACTAAACAGTGAGAGCGGAAGAAAGCGAAGCTTTAAGCTTTTCACTGAAGGGAGAGAAAGCTTGCTCGCATTCCAATTCCCCGAAGAAGAAGAAGCGGGCCGCTGAGTGATCCTGCGAGTTTATTGCGATCGGAGTGGAGACATGCTTGTTCAGAACCGCTCCGCCCCCGACCCTCGCCTTCTTACCAACCACCGCAGCTCCACAGCTTCCGCGGTTGCTACTTCCGGCAGTTTCAGCAAGGGTTTCGACGATATCGCTTCCTGGACCTTCGAAAACCTCTCTAAGATCGTTATTGCTGGTTTTCTCATTGCCTCCGCAGCCGCAGTCCTCATCCTCCTTCCGGGCATTGGCGATACCGCTGCTTTTCTTTGCTTCGAGAGATCTGAGTCCTCCAACTTCGATTCGTCTCGTATTCGCCTTCCCTCGGTAAACTGGAACTCTATTCCCCATATTGCTCCTACCCTATCAGATCCGCACTATTCCTTTCGCGCAGAACGTTGGATCGTAGTCGCTGCTCCATCTCACTCCCTGCCCTCAGCTACCCTCCGCCGCTTGGCTGGCATCAAGGGCTGGCAGCTTCTTGCCGTGGCCACCTCCCAGACTCCTGTCGACTTCTCACTTAAAGGCGCTATTATTCTCTCACTCGACCTTCAATCCCGCCTCGGCTTCCGCTCCACCGACTACCTTCCTTATGATTCCCACGTCCGCAAGTCCATCGGCTACCTATTCGCCATTCAGCACGGCGCTCGCCTGATCTATGACACGGACGACCGGGCCGATGTCGTAGATGGTGACCTCGGCCGTCGATTTGATCTACAGCTCTCGGCCGGCAGCGAAATCCTACTTCAGTACAGCCATCATGATCCCAACCGCACCGTCGTCAACCCCTATATCCACTTCGGCCAGCACTCGGTCTGGCCTAGGGGTCTCCCTCTCGATTGCGTCAGCAAAATCGATCGTGAAGAGTTCTACACGGAGGTCTATGGCGGTCATCAGTTTATACAGCAAGGCCTCTCTGACGGGCTACCTGATGTAGACGCGGTGTTCTATTTTACCCGAAAGTCCTCCGGGCTTGAGGCATTTGATCTCAGATTCGACGCGGATGCTCCCAAGGTGGCGCTTCCTCAGGGAACGATGGTTCCTGTTAACTCGTTCAACACTCTTTTCCACTCCCAGGCTTTCTGGGCTATGATGCTTCCCGTCTCGGTTAGTTCCATGGCATCTGACGTGCTGCGGGGATACTGGGCGCAGAGGATTCTTTGGGAAATTGGTGGCCATGTTGCTGTTTATCCACCGACCATCCACCGCTTGGACAATGCACAAGCCTACCCTTTTGCAGAAGAGAAGGACCTTCATGTCAATGTGGGCAGGCTAATTGATTTCTTGTTGTCATGGAGGTCAAACAAGCACACCCTTTTTGAGAGGATTTTGCATCTTAGCTATGCCATGGCTGAGGAGGGGTTCTGGTCGGAGCTGGACATGAGGTTCACTGCAGCCTGGCTACAGGACTTGCTGGCTGTTGGGTACCAGCAGCCAAGGTTGATGTCTTTGGAGCTGGATCGGCCAAGGGCAATGATTGGGCATGGGGATAAGAAGGAATTTTACCCCAAGAAGCTTCCTTCTGTGCATCTTGCAGTGGAGGAGGTTGGGATTGTGAGCAGTGAGATTGGAAACCTCATCAAGTGGAGAAAGAACTTTGGAAATGTTGTGCTTGTGATGCACTGTGGCAGGCAGGTGGATCGAACGGCTCTGGAGTGGAGGTTGCTGTATGGTAGGGTGTTCAAAACTGTAATAATATTATCAGAGGAGAGAAATGCAGATCTCATGGTGGAACGCGGTCAGTTGTCGCATGCATACAAGTGAGTGGTTATCAAAGTTCTTTTTTATTTAAAGCGGAGATCAATTTCTTATGAGTGCTTTAATTTTTATGATTGCATAATTTTGCTTTTTTATAAAATTATTTGCTTTATTATGGCATATAATTATAGTATTCTCGGCAATCAATGCTGCTGTATGATATTTAACTACTTGCTTCTATCATGTTGATGTTAGTTCCACTTTTGGTTATTGTATCCTTTCTGCGGTATTCTTTGGTAGGGGTGGATCTTCCTTGCACCCACTTGAGCCCTCCCTTCTAGGTTTTATCCAGTAGAGAGAGATTAAAGAGATGGTTCTAAATCTAAGATCAATCAAGGGATAAAGTGCTAGCTTTGTGTTGATTGGTACTGTCGGCTAAGTTCAATATTTTAAAGATAGAATGGTTTCATTGATAGAGCTTAAAAATATTAGGGTATCAAGAGAGTTCGACAAGCTAAACTAGGACATGGTCCCTCCTGTTTGTGTTTAAGTATGTTTGTTCAAAGTAGCAAACAGTGACTTAGTTTTTTTATATTCTTTTGGTTCTTAATATGTATTTTATATTTTTCATATTGTTGCATATAAGTCCAGTAGGTTAGTTTGAAACTTTGAATTTGTCCTTTTTAGGCGCATACAAGAAAAAAATTTTATAGCCTCTCAACATCTTGCCTCATACTCATAGGAGCATCTACAAGGAGTGTTGGGTCTTTCCACCCATCATGCTTAAAATGGTTGCATGGTCAGTGTCTAGGACACCAAAGCTTCTGATCTTCAAACCCACCATGCTTAAAGTTTTAAGCATGAATGAAGCTTCATCTACTTGCATAAGATTTAGTTGCATAAGAGAAGGGTATATAGGATTGCCCTATTGGAACAACGAAGCAGATGAGTACTTATATTTTGATTTTTCCCATCGTGTAGAACAACACACACGGGTACATATTGCGGCAATGTCAAATACACTTTATTTCTTCTTTTTTTATCCGTCCTTTTTCTTAAAATTCTTTTTTTCTTTTCGAATATCCCTCCGTTTTTTTCTTGTTCTTTTTTTTTTTATTTGAAACTTTTCCTTTTTTTTAGAGAGAAAAGAGAGAGATGATAGATATAGATGGGGGAAGATGTAGAAGGAGAGATGGAGAAACGAGGTTGAGGTTGAGATCTTCAGTGGAATGCTAATCTTATTCTATCGTTTTCAAGATTCTTGTTGGTTCTGGCTTTCATAATAGCACCATAGATCGTTTTATCTTTGTACGTTGTACTACCTCATGCTCTGTCTTTCTTTTTGTTTATGTTTATATTGATGACATCTTATTCACTACGAGTGATCATAACAACACTTTCAAGCAAAACAATACATACAAAAACTTCTTATCACCAAAGATTTGGGATGACACAAGTATTTTCTTGGAGCTGAATTTACTTCTGCAAAAGTAGGCATCACTATCTCAAAGAAAATACTCTATTGATCTTCATGAAGAAATTAGTTTTCTTGGTTGCAAGCCATACCCATGTAGAGACTCATTCCATGTTTGATAACGAATAGCTAAATGATAACTCATCTCTCTATTTAAGTTTAGCTGGCAAATTGATTTTTTCGATTGTTATCAGACCTAACATCTCATTTGCCATTGGAATTGCTAGCCATCACATAAAGAATCCAAAACAACAACATTGGGATGTTACTTTGCATATTCACATATCTATCAAAAGTTAACCTGGAAAAGGGTTGCTAGATATGAAGCCACTTGACTATCGAGGCATTCTCTAATTTGATTATGCTTGCTTCTTTGAAGACAAAAAGTTCACATCGGGATATGCATTTTTGTTGGAGTTAAAGCAAGCAAGGTAGTAACCTGGAAAAGTAAGATTTTTTTTTTTGGGAAATTTACATACATACCACTTTATAACATCCTATTTACATATCTAACACCTAAAACTTTAATATTACATGCATACCACCCTATATTATTCTAATATCAAATATACCACTTATATTTCTTTCATATCACTCATATATTTCATTTCTACCACTCATATTTGATATGAAAATGAACTATGGATGATATTTATGTAATATTAAAGTTTTAGGTGTTAAATATGTAAATAAAATAGTATTAAGTGGTATGTATGTAAATTTCCCTTTTTTTTTTGTGTCCAGGTCCAGCATAGAGGCTAGAGCTATGGCTCACTCAACATTCAAACTGTAGGTTATAAAATCGTTTAAGGTAGTTTGGCTTTCTCGATACTCAGGCATATGACACTATATTGTAGCAATCTTGTATCTATATTCTATATTTTCAAAATCTCATGAGCAAACTAATCATAGTTATTGTGATTTTATACAGGATGTACTTTTTAAGAAGATTGTTGCTAGTGTTTTCAATTTTGAGTAAGTCGTGAATTTCTTTCCCAAAATTTTGGTTATCTATCATTCTCTCACTTATATTAAACGTTGAAGCTAATATATATATATGCTTTAGCTTAAGTGGAAGTGTAAACATATGACGCGCATCAGGAAAATAATATCATGAATGATTACTGTTAATATTGACGGATTAGAGAGAAAAGGAAAATATCAATGATAATATGAATTGGAATTGAGATTGTAAACAACATGAATGAATTGAGGCAAGGGCTCCTAAAACCGACACTAAATAGTTGGAATAAGGTTAATTATGATGATGAAGATGATAAAGAATAAAAAAAACTCAACTCTAATCTGACATCGATAATCTTAACAAGAAAACAAAATGATAGAATAAGCCATGATTATATAAATAGCAACATGCATATATAGAGGACTTCAATCATGATAGACTGAACTCGAAAGGTGACTTCACGGCCCCTACTTTTCTTTTTGGCTCTATACATCACAGTACAACATTTATTACCATAAATTTTACTGTTCAATTAGATTCCCTTTCTTTCTTTTTCCGGATATCCTAGTTTGAGCTTTATTAACAAAAAATCTTTTAATTCAATCAGATCGATTTTGGCAGTTTGTAGCCTAACTTTCTAGTTGGGGCTTGAATTTGAAGTATAAAAATAAATTAAAGGATATGTTTAGGCTCACTTAGAAATAAGGCTTTAGTGGTTTTGATGTAGGACTACAATGCTTTTGAATGAATTCTTTAAGAATTTACACGATTTTGAAAAGAACAAGAACAATTAAGACTATTAGCTAATTAAAACTAAAAGAGAAAACGTAAGAGCGGTCACTTCGCTTAGGCCAAGTTACATAATAAGCGCTTGAATCATCAAACAATAAAGAAATTCAACAACATGAGAAGGAAGTAGTTTCCAATAAAAACCCCTAATCTAACAATAAGATAGTAATATATAAAGCACACTCAATCCTACGTTTGTTAGGCTTGGCAGAGATAGGTGAACAAGACCTTCATGAATCAAGTCAAACCACAAGAGAGAGTTAAACTACGAAATTACAAGAGTAGGAAGATTGGAAGACATTCGTCACAGTTTGGACATAATCCACCATTGAACGACACCAAGTTGCTCCTCTATGGCTTCGGTGAGAGTATCTAGAATGCGCTCCACGTATTTCCTCGACAGTGTTGTCGATTGTCGGATTGGCGTCGAAGAAAGTGGAGTGAAGAATGTGAACGAAACTTTGCTCGTCGTAGGCAAGGCCGAAATCAAGACCGGGATCGGCCATTCATGTGTGGAAAGAGATGTAAGTGGATAGCTTATGATCTTCCTTGACTTGAGAGAGAGAGCAAACTCAAGAGACTAGAAGATGATTTGAGAGGGAAGATGAGCAATGGGGTTCGGCCAAGACTAGGAGGACCACCCATTGTTATGAGGGTTTATGTTTGAGAGGGAAGAAGTTTAAAATCTGAAGTTAATTTTCAGATTTTAAAATTGGAGAGATTTGAGGATTGGAATCTAAACTTAATTCCAAGAAAAGGAAAGGGGAATTAATGGAGAGAGAGAGAGGGCTAGGATTTTAATTGTTTCCAAGAGAGAAGCATGCTTTGGAAATAATTCCATAGAAAACCCCTAAGGGGGCCGGCGGCATGGTGAAGGTAGGGAGGGTTTAGGGAAAGCCGGAAAGGTTTAATGCTTGCTTGATTAGGAAATCTTAAATTAGGTAAGAGAGATTAAATCTCATTTAATCAAAGATTGATTAGGGGATGAGATTTAAAGACTTTCATAAAATAGATTTTGTATTGTAGGAAAGATTTTAAATTTCAAATTACTTGGATTTGAATTCAAAATTAATCATAATTATATGCAATCTATATTAGGAAATAAGGGAAAAGGAGGGGGAAACCCAAAAGTGGGCCGACGGCTTGTGGTGTGGCCGTGAGGGTGTGGTGGGGAAGGAGGGGTGGTTGCGGGTGGAAGTGGGGTTGGGGTTAACTGACGGTAGGGGGAGTTGTATGGTGGCCGGCGGCTTAAGGGGTTGAGAGAACTTGTAGACCGGCGGCTAGTTGAGGGAGGGAGGAGGGGAGTGGAGATAAAGAAGAAAGAACCACGAACCCGACCATCTCCAAGGTTGGTGGGTGATCCAATTCCCTCTCCTAGGGATTTCTCTCTCAAGATCTCACAAAGAACTCAAGCAAGGGAAAATTTTAGCATTCATTCATTAAATCTTAGAAGAGAAACATAAGGGCTATAAATAACCTCGTACAAAAGGACTCAAAATAAAAAGACGACAATGCCCTTAGGGCTTACATATGACCTCCCTTAAGTAAGGGATAAAACAGAAAAAACAAATACAACATAAATAATAAAAGACAAATACATGAAATGACTAAAAAATACATAAACTCGACCGTGGCCGTAAATTGACAGCCACACCTCTGATAGACCTTTCACGCTCTGATGTCCCCATCAGGTTTATTTGCATTCACAAATTTCATATATGGCACTAATTAGCTTTTAAAGGTCTAATGTCACCCAAAAAACAAGTGAAGTTTTTACTTACAGTTTTCCTATAATGAATTAGCATGGCGTTAGGTTCAGTTTAGTACTAAGACGTGCACTTATTGAAACTTCATGCACGGACTTTAAGTTCCATGTCAAACATTTGGAATAGGGCTGCAAACGAATCGAATTGAGCCGAGTATGTGAGTGTCATGTTTGAATTTGTTTATTATTAGTTTGTTCAAGTTCAATTCGTGTTTGATTTGAGCTTTATTATTTGTGTTCATGTTTGGTTCGTTTAAATTAATGGTGTTCATGTTTTGTTCATGTTCGGTTCATTTAGTGTTTATTGAGCTTTAAACAAGCAAGCCTTAACGAGCTATGTTCGTGAACATATTTAGTATTTTTTTTTACACTATCAAACAAGCACGTTTATTAACTAATCTAATGAGTATTCTTGAGCTATCAAATGAGCAAGATCATGAATATATACATAACTAGTATTTTTGAGCTACCAAATGACCTCGTTCACGAACAAACGATCTATGATTCATCTTATATTTGTTCATGAACATCTTAAAAAAACAATCTACTCAAACATTGACAAATGTGAAATGTCTCTTATTCATGAATAAATTCATTCTATTGAATGTATAAAATAAAATGAAATTAAATTTAAAATAAAAGCAATTGTTTATTTAAAATGAAAATATGATTAATCTATATGAATATATTTATCGAGCTTATTCACAAGTTCTAAATCGAACACGAGTCGAGTTTCTTACCGAGCTTAATGTCGCGCTTGTTCACGAGCTTCAAATGATGTTGTTCATGAACATAAATGAACCGAACTCATTAGTGGTCAAGCTTGTTTATTTAAGGATCGAGTATTAAAATATTTTTCATGTTTGTTTGTTTAGTTAATTAAACGATCACAAACGAGATTTAATCGAACCGAGCAACGAGTAGCTCGTTGAATGTTTGGTTCGCTTGCAGCCCTAATATGGAACTAACCTCGGACTAAAATACCATTTCAGGCCAATGTTTGGAGACTATATTATTCTCATTTTCTTGTTCACTAACACAAATATCAAATTTAGTTCTATGTCTATCAAAACGACTTCAACTGCTTTCAACTTTTTTCTTTTTAATTACTCAAAGTGTTGTCTGCAAATTGATTTTTCTCATAAATGATTTAGGTTTCTCTTTTATGAAAATATTTAACCTTTAAATCAATCAGAATTAGTTGGAAACTGTTCTGAAAATTAAAAACGTAATATGCTAATCAACATATCATCTTCTACAACATCTCGTTCATCATCCTACAGGTACTTGCCCAAGATATTTAGCAGGTATGCTGGAGCAGATGGCTTTATATTCCTCCAGGATAATATGATTCTCAACTATTGGAATCTCCTCCAAGCTGATAAGAACAAACTATGGATTACCAACAAGGTTTTTTTTTTTTTTTGTGCTCTCTTCTATTTAATCTGGATTTTTAAATACCTCCCTTAACTACATCTTTTTTTGAAATCTTTTCTTTGATTTCAGGTTCCTGAATCATGGATTACTGCTAAAATTGATTCCAACAGCTCCCAGTGGCTTGTAAACCAAGCATCTCTAGTGAAGCAGGCTGTTAATAACTTCCCAGCTCATTTCCAAACCAACTTCAAGGATAGCAATGGCGACGAGAGTCTCACTATCTGCGGGAGCGAGTTATTCTATATCCCTCGGCGTTTTGTCGGCGACTTTGTCGATCTTGTTGAGCTCGTAGGCAATCTTGATATTCATCATATGGTTGCAGTGCCTCTGTTCTTTATGGCTTTGGATTCACCTCAGAATTTCGACTCTGATTCTTTGTCAAGAACTTTGTATTTGAAAGACAATGGGGAAACTAGTTTCAATCTTAGTAGTTATTCGGCTCAAGTTCCTGCCCTCTATCCCTTCAGCATAAGCAATGAGTCGGAGTTCATAAAGCTTATTAGAGTAATGGCTTCTGGGGATCAGCTTTTGAAGGAAATGGTATGAAATTAGCATATTTTAAGCTTCGTTTGGGATAGCTTTTTGTTGTTTTCTAAAGTATCTTTTTAATACAAAAAATTTTGTACTAAAAGATTACTTTAGAAAACAGTAAGAAAGCTGTCTTAAACGAAGCCTTACTCATCATTTGATTTATTTTGGGAAGAGTATAGTAAATGTTTAATTGTTGAGTGATATTTTGCACTTAAAGTAAATTCAATGCATATAATTTTTTTTTTCTTGCTTTTACATTGTTGAAGATGCAATACATTCATTTTAGATGATTTGTTGAGAACTTTTGAATGTATATTAATAGCAAATTCTGACAGTTTTGTTTTATTCTTTCTTCCTTTGAATTTCATAAAATCTGTTTTCATATAAAACACTTCGTTTGATGCTGTTGTAAGTTAAATGAACACTTGAAGCCTTGGGCCTATTGAAAGGCATAAACTAGCCCTGCAATCTTTTCTTTATTAGCTAACATTTGGGTATTTATTTATAAAATTAACTTTTCAATTTTATCCTGCACATTTATTCATATTTATAGTTATATATATAAGATATATTAATAGAGAAACAAATAATTATATAATAATGCATAATTGTTCTAATATAATCATTTCTAAATCAACCATTCAAATATGCAAGTGGATTGGTGTGATTCAGGTGAGTCTCGTAGGGATCCTCATGCTAACCATAACATGAAGAGCCAATGGATGGTTGGGATGGTATTTGACACTCTCCCTCAAGCTATTGAATATAGATCTGTCATTCCTAGCTTGATAATTGGTCCAAGAAATGTATAGTTATCAACTTGGTGCACCATAAAGTCATCCATTTTGTCAAAATTTTGGGAGGAATTAGCTTTAGACATTGCGGTGACAAATGATAGTGTTGAAAGATATATCAATTAAGTTTGTAAAGTGTAGGGCAGCAATGAAGGCTTCGTTGAACAGTAGCTCTCAAGATATCGAAAATGACAATAAGGCTTGTGGTGGCATAGTAGGGAAAGTTTATTAATCATCCTTCGGGTCTATCTCTCTCTCTCTCTCTCTCTCAATTCTGATAACATGTTAAATTAGTTTAAGATATTGTCTAAAGGAGTGCGGGTCTCACAGTTTTGCTTGTCTCAGTCTTAACCCGCACGAGAGGGAACTATCAGCTCTTTTAAGACACACAGATGGAGGTCATGTGCTCGACTTCTCCCGCTTCTTCTTGATAGACTATGGTTGTCGCATGCAGGAATGAAGACCAGTATTCCTTAGAATTCCGACAATGAAGACCGGTGGAAGGATCAATTTTCCTCAAAATTTCGACAATGAAAGCTGGTGGTGGGAACGATAAATTTAGGGGGCTAGAGGAACGAGACAAAAGCTATCTAGCCGCATGCAACCGCTAGCACGGTCTCTCATCTCGTGCAGTTGCAAGGTCTCTTATATAGATGCAAGCTCTCGCTTGGCTCCTCTCTGTTCCGCCCAAACGCACGCGAGCGGTGCCTACTGCACGCAATAAGCTTCACGAACGCAAAATCCCTCTTGGTTTTGCCACAGACACATGAGAGATGTTCGTCAGATGTTTGTCTTTCTCAATCGAAAGCAAAGACCGTGGGGTTCTCACTTGACTCCTTCATACGAGACACACGAGACATTCGTCTCTCTCGATGGAACATAGAGACCGTGAGATGAAGCACTCTCCCTCACGTACGCCAGAACGAATAAGTCGGGAACCCGCTCCCTTTCGTTTCTAGCCTTCCCTTCAAAAAGTCCGACAGTTAAAAAAAAAAACTCATAATTCTTGCCAAGACAATTAAGGCTCTTATACCATGTTAAATTCAGAGAATTGTATGGGGAAAAACTTAATTTTACCATACGCAACTATTCCTTTTTATAGATCTATTCAAGATATCTTAATAAAAAATAAATAATTACAAAATAATGCATAATTGTCCTAAGATATTCTTTCCTAAATTAGCCACCCAAATATGAAAGTAGATTGGCATCATCCATGTGAGTCTCCCACAAATCCTCATGCTGGCCATAAGATCAAGAACCAAGGGATGGCAGGAACGGTATTTGACATTAACATCTGATATTTTTTGTATTTCAATAAGTTCTTAATTATTTAGTTTTGACACATAAGTTTATAATCTTCAACCAAGTTCTTAATTATTTTATCAATTGTTAAGTTTATGATATCTCTTATAGGCTTTTTGTTCTGCTCGGAATATCCGATTTTGAGTGTAATTGAACTTGGTTGAAGATGATTCTGAAGTAGTTCAGTGTAATCTTTAGGAGAGCTTGGGTTGTTCAAGTTGATCTTTATTTTAAATTTTGTTTGGGACAATTTTGTTATTGTTTTTTAAAAGTAGTTTTTAATAAAAAATTTCTACTTCAAATAAATTTGTTCAAAAGTTAATATAATTTCAAATCACAAACCGTCTTAGTCATAATATAAATATTATAGTAATTTAATTACAGTAATTTTTCATAATTTTTTTGCACTGGTATAAATCCTTAAGAAATTAACTCATAGATATGTACAAATAGGGATTTCGAGACCACCTTGTGTCCTTTTTGCAAATCAATTTCACCATAATTTTTTAAATAAAATGAGTTATTTCATGGATATTTTTCTTCACAGATTCATGATTACATAAATATTACTGTTATGATTTGACTGCTAACATGCATATTCCTCATTTGTTGTGCTTTGAGTTCAATTCTAGGATTTGGTTGCTTGTTGAGCTCTTGAGTTCATTATAAATGGTTAAATGATTTCAGGTCAGGTCAAGGGAGCAAGAGTGTGAGATTGATTAGGATTCCTCAGGTTCTATTTCTTTTTTGGTTTAGTTATTTTTTTGCACTCATGATAAAATAGTTGTGATATGATTGTATAGTTCATGAGCAGTGTATATAAATTTTGATAAACGAATAAATATGTCTATATTGATAGTTTTATTTCGATTGTTATTTATGTTGATAAAATAAATTAGATAGCTTTGGCTGTTATTTATTAAAAGATAAAAAAATAATTCTTCCAAATTAGATTCTGGGGCATAACATGATGATCGATAGTTTGGAGATTGATGACATTAGCATCGGTTGGTTGAAGGTAATGATTTATGTTTGAGTGGATAAATTTTTATACTATATCACATCATAGTGCCTTTCTCATTTTCTATTTATTTTTGTAAGAGTAAAAATAAATATTTTTAATATAGATAAAAAAAATTGTAGGCTCTTAATTAAAGTGATGTAAAATGAAAAATAAATACAAAGTTTTATAGTTAAAGTAATAATGAATAATTAGAATTTTCTCTTAGCTGATTTTTAGAGTATCCCTTATCAAAATCTCTTTTTTTTTTTGGAATTGAATACTTTAGTTTCTCTTTGGATTATCTTCTTCGCATTATCATATATTTCACTGCTTTGCTTCTTGACTTTTCTTCTAATTCTTATCGTAAGTCTTTGCATCTGTTACGATGTTGGATCTAAATTTATTTATGAGCGATTTTAGATCCTTACTAGTAGGACTTTCAAGATTTCACAAAATAGGTAGTTGAGAAAATTTTGAAAAAGAAGTAGAGAGAAGAAAAAAAAAAAGAGTAGAGAAGGATGAATAGATTTTTAGAGGGAGAAGCTCTTAGATTTTTCATTTTTATTAGTTGAAATTTCCTCCTCTTGATTTGTAAAGGAGGAAGTGCACATTGTTTATTGTTCTTCAGTTTGCAAGTTTCATCCAATGCAAGAGTTGAAGTTGCTTAGTTGGTAGTCATGAACTGCTGGTTTTAGGATGTTGGACCTAAATTTTTCCATGGGCACATTGTTAGAACCTTACTAATAAGATTTTCAAGATTCCATAAACATATAGCATAGAAAAAAATTAAGCAAAAATAAGAAAAATAAGAAATGAAGAGAAAGAAGAAAAAAGATACTTTTATAGAGAGAGGCTCTTAGATTTTTATTGCTAGCTAAGCTACATGTGCCCCACCCAAGGGCGGAACCCTTAAGTGCCCAAGGGGGCTAAGGAAAAATAAGAAAAATAAGAAATGAAGATAAAGAAGAAAGAAGATACTTTTATAGAGAGAGGCTCTTAGATTTTTATTGCTAGCTAAGTTACATGTGCCCCACCCAGGGGAGGAACCCTTAAGTGCCCAAGGGGGCTAAGGAAAAATAAGAAATGAAGATAAAGAAGAAGGAAGATACTTTTATAGAGAGAGGCTCTTAGATTTTTATTGCTAGCTAAGCTACATGTGCCCCACCCAGGGGCGGAACCCTTAAGTGCCCAAGGGGGCTAATTGCCCCCCCCCCCCGGGACATCCCAGACGTCTATAGTGAAAGGATTCGTCGACAGTCTTGATCAACCATCACTTTCTGCTCCCTTGCTCTGACCTGAAATTGTTAGCCACATATAATAATCTTCAAAAAGCCCAGCAGGTCACCAAAAACCTACAACTGAAATCAAAGCACGGTACGAAAATAATATGCATGTCAATCAGTCAAATCATTGCAGTCACTTACACATGATCATTTGAATCAATGTAAAATCAGAAATCAATGCATAAACAGTAATCAATACAGAAATGGTAGTCAATGCATAAACAATATCAATATAGAAACAGTAAAATCCTCAATTGGCAATAGAAGAATCAGTAAACAGTATAAAAGTCCGTAAAGCTCAATGAATCAGTACGTATGTCAAATCTCTACAGTAGTGGTCATTATCTATAACACCAGTCAATTCCGTAGACAGTTAAATCATTAAAGAAATCTTCGTATCAGTATTATCAATCAAATCAATGAAATAAAATCATAACATTATTTGAAACAGTCGAAATCAATCAATGCCGTAGAATCATATCAAAACGTACACTTATAATTCAATTATTCAATATTACGTGCTCAGTGAATCACATGAAATCCAATAATCTATATCACATGTTCAGTGAATCATATGTCACTTACACAGTATATCACATGCATAATATAAATAAAGTGAATCGGTAGTATTAGTGCCTGTATCAATATCAGTACAATCCAATGACATGAACAGTAATGATATAACAGTGAAATAATGCATTAACAGTAAATCCGTGCAGTAACTAAATCCGTACAGTACAGTAACGATAAATCCGTCAGTATCAATAAATCTGTACAGTAGCAATAACACTACTGCTAAACATGCAATTCAGTATAGTAGTCATACAGAGCAAGTAAAAACACTGGCTATTAAGGTGTTTTTCAGTCTTGTCATTGTATCTTATATCTCTATCTTATCCGTTGGCTCAGTAAACAGAGTAGTCACTCTTTGCCCGTTGGCACAGTAATCATCTCCTTATA